GTCACATATCAAGAGTTCCTGGATGGGTGCATGCGCCTCAAAGGGCAGGCGAGAAGTCAGGACGTGATCAGCAGCTCGGCAGTGGGATCTCCCCCGAGGGGGACCGGGGGGGGGGGCCAAGAGAGATTGGAGATGCAGAAAGCCCGATATTGCAATCCAGCGGCTTGCAGGCTTGCCGCCTGGCCTAAGAACCGCTTGCACATGGCACAAAGTGAGCAGTTTGAGCTGAAGTTTCCTCCAAGGGAGATGCTCCCCTGCAAGTTAGCAGAGGTTTCAAGAGGGCGGCCACAAAATGAAATTCAATTTTTGTTTTTGGAGGTCCATGTACGTGGGACTATTCAGGATGTCACTTTCGGCCGGCATTGCCCCCAGGTATTCTGCATGAGCAGACGAAGATCAGCCGGCGGTGTTTGGACATGCAGAAATCCATGGACCGGATCAGAGTCGTTTCTTTGCCTTCCAGCTTCCCTTCATTTCTTTTTTTGTGTCATGCCTTAATTCGGTCGGCCACGTTCAAACCGTTTCCTAAGAACCCCCGCCCTTCCCGCGGTCAGAATTACTTTGTTGACCCCACATTGATCTGCCCCAGTTTATTAGTAGGGGGGTGTTCCCCTCCAAAAGTGGTCTGATTCCCCACTAACCCATGGACACCCCCACTTAATAAACTGGGGTTGAATATTATGGGGTCAACATCATGTTGACGGCAATCCCCAGCCCCAAGTGCAGATCTCGAGTCGTTTGGCGTTGATTTTCCGCGGGAGGAACAGCTGCAGAATCTCTTGGGCCAAGTACTTGTGGCGATGAGCTCAGTGCGACTGCTGCCAGCCATGCAGAATTTGCTTGTTGTTCCCATTTCGGCTTTTGGTGGCTGTGTAAAGGTAACCAATAGCAAACCAAACTTCCATGAAGCCAGTTACTTGTGGCTGTTGGTTGATTTGGATGCATATGGGGCAGGGGAGATTTCCCGTGCGCGCTTTGGCAAGAAAGGTTGCGGAGCTAGCTTCTCCAAACGGAAGCTCCCTGCATGTCGGGTAACCTGGTGGTTTCTTGATTTTTTTCAACAACCAGCAGAAACACAAAGAATGAAGCATTGGGGGTTATGGTTTGACGGTAGCGGACATGCTGTACGGTTTTGGGACCGCCCTGTGAAGGATGCACCCACTTTGTTGGCTCAAGTGATCACATACCCCCACCCCCCCAAAAAATGGAGGAACTTGGAGGTTTTCCCTTTGATTTGCCTTTACACTAATCCCGAAAAGGGTACCAACACATCACCGTCCGTATATTTCCGAAGGGGTGGTTCCAGCATCACTCGGGATAGGTCCATAGGGTTTACCCCTAAACAGGGATTCGCAAGCGAGTCCGAGGCCCGAAGCGAAACTGGCGCCGATGCAGGCTCTATACATGGGTGTTTCTCAGTAGTTGGTTTTTTGTTTTTGAAAGGATACCCGTTGCTTCTTTTAGTTTTTACTTTTTGTTTTATCATTCCTTTCATATGTTTTTTGACAGGATCCCCCCTTTGTCGTGGAAGGGAACCCAAGAGACACGACGGCTTCTTTTTTTTTGGGAGTCCCTTATTTTGAAGCAAGCCTATTTCCCCTCAAAGGCTGGTTTTGATCATCACCTTTTGGGCCAAATCATGGGTTCATAATGCCCTTGCTGACAAGCAGGGAATTGCGCCATCTACTTTCACACTGGAACTGGTGGACATCATTCCAAAAACATGTAAGTTTTAAGGTCCACCTGGGTAGTCCAAGGTACAAACCACGCATGAGTTAAGAAGCTCCTCTCATTCTGCTGTTTTGCATTGATTTTGGTGAGGAATCCGAAGCAACGCTGACATTTGGTGCCAAACTTGGGGCTGAAATTTGGTTCGCTGGAGCTAGGCAGGCACCCACCACTCTGACTGCCGGGCTTGCATGGAACCTCTAGGGGACCTTTTTGAGGCTCCCCCCCAATCAAGTTCGATGGCGAGGTTGGGAGGATCGTGTTTAAATATTTGGCGATTTTGGTGGTCGGATCTTTCCACTTTTTGGTTGAAACAGTTGGGAGTTTCCGAGTTGGACCCACAAACAGTAAAGGACTCTTTGCGGAGGGGTCAACAGCAACCAAGGTTTCGAGTCATGAGACGGTGCTGCGCAGGTGTTACATTCCGACGCCAGGACGGTCAACGCCTTTTGGGGCTGGATGCAGTTGGCAAATCTCGGGGGGTCAACCGAGTTTTAGTATCCCAGATTTCAGGTGTTGAATGTAACCATCATACATTTTGCAGATGGATGGTCTGTCTAGCCCCATACAGCCCCTTTCAAGATTGGATAAACGAACAATCAAATGAATAAGCGTGCGCAAGTAAGCAAACCAGTAAATCAATCAACAAATAGACTAGCAAAGCGCTTCTGGATCTAAGATTCTATATTCAAGATTCCCAGGACTCTTGTTCTTGAATCTTAAATCCAAAAGCTACTTGGATGAAGCGCTTTAAAGCGTTTTGGGGGCCCCATACTGGATTCAAGATTCAAGATCTAAAGTCTTGTGAATCTTGAATCTTGAATCTTAGATCCAAAAGTGCTTTAAAGCGCTCTAAAGAGTTCTGGGGGCCCCATACTGGATTCAAGATTCAAGATCAAGAATTTGGACATCTTGAATCTTAGATCCAAAAGTGCTTTAAAGCCCTTTACAGCGGTTTGGGGGCCCCGTACTGGATTCAAGATCAAGAGCAGAGTCCTGGAAATCTTGAATCTTGAGTCGTAGATCCAAAAGCGCGTTAAAGCGCTTTCAAGTGTTTGCTTTTGGTCATTCCTGTTTGGTTGTGCACCTTATTACTTTTTTTGGACTTGTGTGCGTCAAATACAGTTGGTAGTTCAGCATATGGACATCGGATAATTCATTCCTTAGAAAATGGTTTAAAGGAATCCACGCCAACCCTTGGCCAAGGGTTGTGAGCTGACAGACAGGGGATTTGCAGATGAGTTGAGATGAGAGATGGAAGATGCATAGCAGGTATTGGCACAGGTTTGTAAGTTGACGGACGAAGACGATTTGCACATCAGTTGAGAGGAGAAATCGAAGATGCGTAGGCGAAGCGGACGAGGCATTGTTTGCTTTATTGTTGATACCTTCCCCGGTACTCTCACAGAGAAGTTTCACAGTCAATTGAACGAGGATAACATTAGACTATGAACAAGCAAAATCAGTATGGACGCATTTTAACGATGTTTTTTTTTGGTTTTTATTGACTGACATTTTTGAACACTTCAGGATGTATGTATGGAATATTCTGGCTTCGACCCTGTGTATTCTGACACGTCACCTAACGTCGCATTTACACTGTACCGAACTTTGTTCTGATGCTATGTTCAAATTAGCTTGTGTTGAAATAAGTTTAGTTTATGACCAGAAGATGCATGAAATGATTGAACAAGGATCAGAAGGAGGAACGCCACAAACATTTTTCAGAAAGTACAAGCAACTACTATTTGATTGGGTGGCAAAGTCTTCATGAATCATCTGGGCAAGTCTGGTAGCATTCACCCAAAATGACCGGACTTCGCTTACAGAAGTAGCAGTCGCGAATTTTGGAGGGGGCAAAGGGGCGGTTGCATATAATATATATATATATATATGTATATACATACAAGTATGCATTCATATGTACATGCGTATTGCTAGATCGACCTGCGATGGGCTTTGATTGCTTTGATCATGACTCATACAACAGGCTTGGCCGGGAAAGATGTGGATGGCCCTTTGGTCCGTTTAAGGTTCATCCAGAGGGTCCAAATTCGGTTTGGTTCGCACGGCTTATGTGTCAAAGCACCCTTCATGTTGGTCTTCTTGAACAAGGGTCCTACGTTTTTGACACTTACCCACATTGCCATTTGGCTTCCCTTCTGGATGGCCCGCAGATTGAGGGCTTACTTAATCTGGAAGCACCCGGCTTTTGCAGGACACGAACTTCTACGTGTAGCCTGTAGCCTTGCTCTCTGAGGCAGGTGTCGCACTGACAGCACTGGTGTCACTTATGAATACTGACCGTGGCTCATGTGAAAAGGACGGGTAGTCTTGTCAGCTTGGGAGGATGGGAAGGGGACGAGCTTCAGATTTCAACCACAAAAACCAAAGGTCGAGACCCCAGTTTCCCAACATGTCCTCTTGGGAAACAAGTTATTTTGTCCGGGCTCATGTTGGCCCCGAAACATAGGTCTCCAATTTCGACCACATCTGTTTGAACACGTTTGAACCCCTGTTCACACATTTACGATGCGTATCTTAGTCGCTATTAGAACTCTTTTGTGTTTTTGAGCCAACATGCTCACATCTACGTAAACCACAAGTTAAACTCCATATTTTTCAGCGTCCGGATTGTTTTGTTTGGTTTTGACCTCTGTTTTGTTCCGCAGCTTCCACCGATTTATCCCCGCTTTTCCGGGCCGGTGTTTCCTCCGGCATTTCGGGCCAGGGCGGTGGCTTTTTTGTTGGGCGAGCGACTGAGGCGACAGCTTGAAACGTCGCTTCCTGAGTTCCGTTTCGGACTTTAAACTGGTAAGTAGACAGTGTGGACTCTTTTGGGGTTGGACCATTTTAGTGGTAAATGGAAAGTTTGGACCTTTCCTTGCGCAATCCACTAGGGGAAGGGAAGCATGTTCTCGGCACATTCAGGATTCAGGGGCCTTTATGTCGAGGCTGAAGCGAGCTTGCTTTGGGCATCCCCAAGGTCTTTGAAGTTTTGGGAACCCCCCCCCAAGAAAATAAGAAGAAAGAGAAACAAGAAGAAGAAACAAAAACAAAAACAAAACAAACAAAAACATGTCGGACTGAAATTCTGCATTCGGATGAGCTTTTGCAAGCACGCTGTGGTCACTAGGCAGCCATGTGCTGCCACGAGCACAGCGCTCACGGCGCTCTGAGCGGCCCCAGCTTTCCTTTCTTGCCACTGATTTACGCCATGGTCAAAAAGAGTCAAAAGAGTCAAAAGAGGCAGGCCTGGTAAAGCAATAGTGTCATGGTGTCTTTCTTGGGATCTTGTTCTTGGAGTGTGTGCGTGTTGTTTTTATTCTTCTTTGTATTTTTTCTATTTTCCCCTTTTTGCTTTGCTTTTAATAGGAAACCACGAGGACACCAGCCATTTTGCGGGTCCCCCCATTTTTGAGAAATCCATAAGCATACTTTGTGTGGATTTGAGGCTAGAAGCATCAGGGAATTGGGGATTGCCATTCGCCCATGAGCAGTTAGACATCGATTTAGTGGACCATGACCATACATTGAGTTTTGACCATGTCGCATGTGCAGGAATCATTTGATGCTGCCGACACACGGCAATTGCTGTGCGTTTGGGCGTTTCTCCATCGTAAACCGCCGCCTAGAATTTCATCCCACATATTTGGTGCAGGAGCATCAGCCTGTTTGAGTCGGCGCCTGTGAAGTTTCAAGTTGTAAAGCTGCTTCCTGATCGGTGGGCGGCTGTTCGAGCAAGCATTCCCAGACGGTGGTGTTCCCAGGATGACTTGCTCGAACATATGTCATGCTCCCATTCTGTGCTGAGCCTTTCCAGCAGATTTGGGAAGACACACACACACAGACATGCCCATCCTCCGAAGTGAGATGCGAGAAAAAACTGGTGGCACGCGCTTGCCCGCATTACCACTCTTGGGTGAAAGTAAATGGCACGATCTCCCCAGGTTGAATCATTCCCTTTACTATCGGCACGGGAATTGTGGCGTCTACTTTCACGTCGGAGTAGTAGAAACGCGTAGTTTGAGGACATTCAGCCTGACCAAGGCAAAAGGGGCATGGCCTCAATATGGTTGCAACACGGTATTGCGGAAGCTTCACGAACAAGGAAACTCGCTTGACTGGCGCCAAGAGGTGATGTTTGAAACCACCAAAAAGGGGACACATTAGGGAACCGGGATCTTTGGTTCCATGTTGGATTCCCTTGAATCACGGCCGTTTGACCTTTTGGTCACCCTCCAGAAGCTTGCTTTGGATGGTGAAATGACTGGTGCTCAAAAAGTGGTCGGACTCCTGGCTGGTCCACAAAAAGGAAACTATGACTAGCGGTTCCTAGGTTTCGCAGGGCACAAACTATTTCGACGAGTTGGCTGAGGGAGTACACACACACACACATGTCTGTCGACTACTTGGCAGTCTCCAGTATGTTGGACAGTTTAACCAGAGGCTAACCTTTTTTTTTGGGGGTGTCAAATAGGGTCCCTTGTCCGTATCCCCCCTTTAAAGGTGGCAAAGGGGGCCATATTCCTGACAACCACCCTCATCAAGACTACAAGAACACACACACACACACACACACACACACACACACGGAAGCCCGAGCTACTCCATTTGCGGGGTCGGCCCTGGGCATGAATTCTAATCAGTAATCCTATGGTGGAAATCATTTCGGTGGGGATGTTAACTGTTCCCCTCCCACTCTTTTCAGATGAAAGGGTGGGAGGGTGACCACTAACCGCCCCCTTAACCACCAAACCACCAATCCAAACCACCAATCCAAGCCACTAAACCACCAATCCAGACCACCAATTGAGCCACCATCAAAACCCGGGTAGATAAAGATCAGTAAGAAACAATCCCAGCCAAAAATAGTTACGACCGCCTTCTTAATTCTTTACATGGTTCTGGGTAGACCGTTTTAATACCGGGTTTTCATTGTGACTCAATTGGAAGCCGAAATTTACCGTGAAATTCCCCCCGAATGTCAGCTTCTGAAACGGGTGGGAGGGTGACCACTAACCGCCCCCTAAACCACCAAACCACCTGAATTCCTGTGAGCCAGTCCTTCCGTGAGGAGCAGCTGAAGTTCCTGAAGAGCGAGCTGGCCCGCACGGAGGAAACCACCCGGGTGCTCGAGGGCATGCTGGCCCGGACCCGCAGAGAGATCGTTTTGGCCCGTTTTGGGTCGTTTTGGTCTTCGCTTTGGTGGTTTTGGTCTTCGTTTTGGACGCTTTGTTGGTTGTCATGTCAATTCTCGGTTTTGGGTGTTCTTTTGGTGAATCTTGGTCGTTTTGGTACTCGCTTTGGACGCTTTGTCCGCTTTGGGTGTTCTTTCGGTGGATCTTAGCTACTTGCGGAAGTTGGGGTGGGGTTGGCTCGGGAAGAGTTGAGAGAGGTCGGGTAGTAAAGAGATTGGGTCGGTTTCAGGTGAAGTTAAGAATTGCCTACTGTCAAGTTTCTGATGCCTAAATAGATTCGATTTTCCCCTGAACAGGCCTCAACACAAGGCCACATCACATCAAGGGCCCCTGACCAAGCCAAGCAACCTTGTGCGTGTGTATGTGTGTGGTGTATACATACCATACCATGGCATACCATGCACATGCCATGCCATAACATGGCATTTGCATGACGTGTCATTACACCACAAGCCATTACATGACCTGCCACTACATGACATAAGACTACATTAACTTACTTATCATTGCAAGACATTGCAATACATGAATCACATTACATTACATGACATACATACATACATAGATACATACATGAATACATACATAGATACGTACAAAGATACATACACAAATTCATACCTATGTTCATACATGATTAGATACATAGACACAGACATACACAAATATCATATAAAACCACAGATACATAGACACATAGATCCATAGATACATAGACACATACGTACAAACGTGGATGGATGGATGGATGGATGGATGGATGGATGGATGGATGGATGGATGGATGGATGGATGGATGGATGGATGGATGGATGGATGGATGGACAGAAGGATAGATGGACAGATGGACGGATGGACAGATGGATAGATGGATAGATAAGTGGATGGATGGATTGATAGATGGGTGAATAAATGGATAGATGAATAGATGGATAGATGGATAGTTGGATTGATGGATAGCTGGATGCATGCATGCGTGTAGGCAGCAGGCAGGCAGGCAGGAAGGCAAACAGACAGACAGACAAACAACAAATGAAATAATCTAAGCACACAAATGCAGAAGTAAGTAGCTAGAATAACAAATACACATGCAGCTCAATCAAACAAGAGACAACTACCCACAGTAAGCACATACATAGGCAAGACGATATGTTGAACAACAGATAAGCGGATGACTGAATAAGTACTGTACCTGATTTAATAGGTAGCTATGTATATACGCATACACATAAGTGTACACATGTGTATGCATACGTGTTTGTGTGTGTGTGTGCTCGTGTGCGTCCTTGCGTTCGTCCGTGTGTGCGCGCTGATGCTTTATATTTATTCCTGAAACGCATGCACGAGAACTGCCCGCCAGCACGAGAACCAAGAGAAAGCGGAGAAGCTGCAAGCGGAATTGCCCAGGCCTGTGGGAGAATTCACTTGCAGTATTGCGGCTAGATCTATGACTTCTAAAATGTTGCTCCTATGATCATGCTTGATTCCGGGGTTGTCAAAAATGCGGCTCTTTGTGGACCCTGGTGCTGCCTTGTGCCGCCTTTCAGGCGTGCAAAGGGCCCCCGAATTTTGACGAAGCCCCCATGCGTTGAAGTACCTCACAACCCCATTCCAACCTAAAAGTATTTCAATCTTTGCTTTGAGCCGACTCAGCCGCTCCCGGAGCGCATCTTGAATAGGGCAGGCATTAGAATGCCGACACCCGCAGGCGAGTGAAGAACAAGGACATGCGGGCCTTCTTGGGGTTGATCTCAAGGACAGCAAGAGGGGCTTGGGCGTTCGGCTAAGTTAGTTAGTTGTTGGTAGCCTAGATCATAAACATGTAGCGGGTGATGTATTCCGAATCCGAGCGGGTCTTTGCGACAATGAATGGATAAAAGGACCCTCGGAAAGGTTGGATGACGTCAATGTCTGCGGGGTTCCTCCCTGGCAGGATCTATGTCATGGAGGTGGAGAACATGGACATGCAGGCGACCTGTGTCTCGAAGGGACTGCAGCAAGAGCTCGTCGTCCTTTTGGTTTCCGTTTCAAGTAATTCACCCTAAGAAGGCACCCCCGAATAAAGACAACCCCAGCCGTGGCAAAATCGACTTCTTCGCCGGTGTGTGCTGACAGGAAATGGTGGACGTGACCGGGCCGTTGCTGGAACAGAAGGACGGGCGGGGTTGCCTTCAGCAGACGTAGAAGACTCCTCCTTCTCTCCTTCTCCTTCTGGTTCTGGATCAGACACCAACGTTCCCGGTGTTGTATGAGTGTATTCACACAAGTTTGCACGCTGGATCAAGAGCTGTATCTGCAAAGGCCAAGATGGTTCACCGAGAACCAGCAAGAGAAGTGGCATCCGAGCAGTGACTTTGGAGGCTTCATTCTGCTCCGTACATCAACCAGACTTGGGTACATGTCAAGACCAGGGTTGCGGAGGGGTAAGTCAGCTCCCACCCGCAACTCGATTTGACACACAGTCACACGACTATGACATCTAGTTGCATGAACTCTTTGGCATCAGAAATATATGAAGGTTTATGTCCACCAACCATTCTTGAAAGTGTTCCAAGCAATTATCACAGCCAGGTGGTACATTTCAGTCGGTGTCCACCATGCAAGTCACCCAGACAAGCCTTTTATTTTCAATGAATCCATACCCGTAGAGAGGTCAACGTTTTCAGATGGCTTGTTTGGCAGTGCGGAGGTTAACCACCCATATATGGGGTGCATGGCATACCGCCGTAATCCAGTGATCCGTGGCTCTAATTTCTGTGATTGAGCCACATTCAGGGCAAATATTTAACCAATCAACAATAGGTTTCATATGGGGCGGGGGGTTCATAGCAGGGGTTAATACGGGGGCCTGTGCTTGTTTTGGGAATCGCTTTGTTGGGTCCCCCCAAATTTAACACATGCCCACAGCAGGGTTCATATGTGGATGGACAAACTCCTACACCTGTGGGGATGGATGGGTCTAGGGGTACCTTGCCCATTCTTTTCAGGCATCCTTCTTTAGAACCCCTAAAACCCTGGGGAAACAGCTGGTTTTTGAAAAGAACGATGGTTGAAAAGAATGGGGAATCAACCCCTAGAATGAAGCTCTATTCATACCGGTTGAGAATCTGTCTGACGGGTGCCTGGTGTGGATTTTGTCCGTTCACACAGGGTTTCTGCTGTTTACATGGTTTGGAGCAGAGCGGGTTGCCCATATTGTTCAAACCCTGCTGTACGCATATCAAGACCTTTCGACTCAAAATATGGGAGCCTCCAGGAAAAAAACAAAAAAAACGCACGTGCGAACATCTGGGAGCCACAGGTGTGTTTTTGATCAGCGAATTTGGTTAAAAATAGATGGGTTCCACTGGTTCAGATGGGGTTTGTTGCCCATAATGCCAGGGAAGGCAAGAACAACTCCAACCGCGTGGGACCATCGGGGAGCCACAGGTGTCCTTTTGTTTCATATGGGGTTTATTATCCGTTTGCCAGGGAAACCCATCTGGGTGTGGGTCAAGAATAGGTACCCAAAATGAAACCCTGGCAAATGGAAACAAGGGCTAAAACCTGCGGTCCCTGGTGGTTGCATTTTGACCCGGGCCCATCTGTTTTTCCGAAAGGTCACATTCAGCTTATCGCAGGAGTTGGAGGCAGAGGCCTTGCGGCTGCAGATTCAGATGCGCGACCGCGTCATCGAGGAGAGCCAATTTCTGGCCATAGGGAAGAACTAATATGGGAAGTCGGTTTCCCTAAAAGAACCACGTTCAAACCCCTAAAAAGGGTACTTTCAGAAAGAGACAACCATATGTGACAGTGGAATGGGTGTGGAAAGGTAGGGGCCCGCTGAAGAAATTGTATGGTAATCCCCACTGAAAGACTGGGTGCGGCGAATCGCCAGGTGGGTTGACCGGTGCATCTCTCTTTTTGTCACGCAAGACGCAAGCCCGGTTCCAAGGCAGTTCTTCGGACCTTTGCACGGGCTTGGGGTTTTGTTTGGTTGCCCCCTGTCATCATCATCAGCATCAGCATCAGCATTTGCATCATCATCATCAACATTATCATGATCATGATTAGCATCGTCATCATCATCATCATCAACATCATCATGATCATCATTACCATCGTCATCATCATCATCATCAACATCATCAAGATCATCAATACCATCGTCATCATCATCATCATCAACAACATCATCATGATCATCATGATCATCGTCAACAACATCATCAACATCATCATGATCATCATTACCATCGTCATCATCATCAACATCATCATGTTCATCATTACCATCGTCATTATCATCATCATCATCATCAACATCATCATGATCATCATTACCATCGTCATCATCATCAACATCGTCATCATGATTGCCATCGTCATCATCATGTTCATCATTACCATCATCATCATCATCATCAATATCACCACGATCATCATTACCATCATCATGTTCATCATTACCATCGTCATCATCATCATTACCATCGTCATCATCATCAACAACATCATCATCATCGTCATCATCGTCATCATCATCATCATTTTCATCATTCATCAACATCATCATGATCATCATTACCATCATCATCATCATCATCAACAACATCATCACCATCGTCATCATCATTACCATCGTCAACAACATCATCAACATCATCATGATCATCATTACCATCGTCATCATCCTCATCAACATCATCATGTTCATCATTACCATCGTCATTACCATCGTCATCATCATCAACATCATCATCATTTCCAGTGTCATCATCATCATCATCATCGTCATCGTGATCGTGATCGTCATCGTCATCGTGATCGTGATTGTGATCGTCATTGTCATCGTCGTCGTCATCGTCATCGTCATCGTCATGACCATCATCCGCAAGACGCGTCTTTTTTTCTTCTTCTAGGAAGTACTCAATAAGGCTTGATCTTCCCTTGGATGCTGCAGGTTCCCAGCTGCGATGCAGATCCCATGCTTCCAGATTTCGAGCCACGAGGGGAGCCATGAGAAGTTTCTGGCCTATCGTAGGGCCCGTCAGTGGGTCACATGTAGGGGCAAACATTAACTGGACTAATCACATAGTCATTCAAATGCTCACGAGTAGTTACTATTGGCCTGCAATAGCCTTGGTTTAGGTGGGTCTTCGGCCAATTTGGGAAGTTGTTGGTGACCTAGGTGAGTAGCCACATACTTTATCCCCCCCCAATGGAGCGAACCCCTGATAGTGGGTTGTAAACGCTCGCCACTTGCTAGCTTGGCTCCCCAAAAGCTCCTTCCTGAGTTCCTGGACTTATACTTTTTGGAAGATCATTCAGTGGCAAGCAGAAAGTTTGGACTTTTCTCGGCCAAGCTACTCAAGTGAGAAAGGGCGTGCCTTTCTTGAGGGTTTGTTGTGATCTCGCGCAGGAGCAAGACCAGCTGCTGCAAGCGGAGGGCAAGGCCGCAAGCGACCGATTAGACGGCTGTTGGGGCCCCTGTCCCTGTGCCAGGGTCGCTCGACACCTTTCGGATTGCTCAGCAAATGCCAAAAATAGGCCGCTCCAAAGACAGATTCCTCAAAAACGGTTCCCTGCGAATTTTGCTAAGCGATGTACGGATGGTTTGAGCCACTGGGGACGCCCTTAGGGCTTCCCTGTTGGATGCCCACTCCACTCAAGTTTGCTGAAGGCCCCCCCAAAGGACTTACCCGGCATATTTCCAAGGATGCTAACCACCACTATGTTCAAAAGCACTTTAGATGGGTTATTTGCCGGTGTGCAGGCTGTATACCATTTGCGGAAAGACACGGCGGTTGACCTTGCCTTGCATCGTTGCGGCCGTAGCATTTCGGCCCCACGCCCCGGCGGCTCGCCTCTGGCATTCGCCTGAGAGACTGCGGGGTTTCATCCGCGGCCGCGCTGAGTTCGATTCAAACCTTTTGGTGGTTTTCGCCACGGTCGTTCCTGTGAGTCAGGTGCGCGCTCACGGGAACATCGCCGCGACCTGAGGACATGTCAGAGGAGGGCTGGGGCTTCAGAGCGATGCGTATACCTAAACGCCTGAATTTGGAAGGTACGGTGAGGCGCGGCAGCGCGGTGAGGAGTTCTCGCCAAGCACCTGGAGCATGTGCCAGAAGAGTATGCTGCCGATCTGGACACTCCTATGAGGTGGCGCAATGCCTGACAGCTTGCTCAAGGCGCCGGAGTCCAAAAATGCCATGTCTGACCTGGACAACCCGCGGCGTAGCACGAGATCATAGAGCGCGAAGCCCTGAAAATCTGCTCGCTCGGAAGCTTCTGCCAGGCATTCCGAACAGACTTACCACGTTCACCTCTCAGCTTTCAGGGAATTGAGACCGTTGCGGAAGCAACGGATGAGAACGTGGCTGATGCAGGTGGAAGCCGGAGCAAAGCGCAGGCCGAGCTTCAACAAGCCGAAGCTGAAGGAGTTGAGGTCAAGCTTGGCCAAGGTGCAGCACGGCGTTCGATTGAATCTCATCCCCAAGGTTTGGCGCTGGAGTTGATGGTATGATTAAAGACCAAGCCCACACACTGATGTCACGTTTGATTTGAGATCCAGTCACGCAGGCCCCGTCAGACCCCAGTGTGGTCTTTCACCGGCTGAACTTGCGGCTTTGGAGGTTGGTTTGAAGCGTCAAAGGCGTCAACAACGGCACCGATGGGTGCTCTGTCTGGAGGACCAGACCGTTGGCCGTGGGCTCTTGTGCTTGCGATGGCTGCACCCCTTACCCGGCACGCCCGGTCGTCAAGGACAGTCGTGACAGGAGACGTTTAGCCAGCGCGCTTCTGGCAAGCTCCATGGAAGCCTTGTCTTTTGGCACGGCTTGAAGTGGAGATGGAGGTTGTCGCGGGTCATGTAACGCGCGACGAGTGCCTAGCAGACGGACGCGGAGATGCTCATGGAGGACGAACGTGACGGATGATGTCCGAAGTGCGGTACCAGCGAGACCGGTTGGCGGTCTCAGCGTCGGCGAACGAGGGCGCTTCAGCAACATGTGGAAGGACGAGATGCGCGGCTTCATGATCAAGACATTGCTGACCACGGTGGAGTTTACCAAGCTTGGCGTACTGGGTGGTTTCAACATCCTGGATGCCCACAGTCATTGTTTGCCCCGACCTCCAGACGTCGCAGTCTTTGAGGCCTTGCGGTCCTTGGCCAACCCTGGCTCCAGTAGTAGTTACGCAGAGAGCGCAGAGCCGGCCCAAGCCCAATAGCCAGAAAGACTCAGGGTCGGTCCAGGGTCTTTCCCTCTGGCTGTTGACCTTGCGTTGCATCTTTGCGGTCGCAACATGTCGGCCCGCGCCCTGTGCGTCAGCGTATGTGAATGGGAAACCCCGGCGGTTCGCCTCTTGCTTTCGCTTGACTGCAAGGCTTGCCCGTGTTTCTCCAAGCAACTCGCCTTGGCAAAAGCCCACAAGAACCAAGGACCAAGTTTTGAGCCAAGGGAGTTGGCTCGAATCAGCTAGTGACAGTCATCTGAATCTTCAGCTGTAGTACCCCGCCCAATCCAGCGCTTTACATGCCATTTCGACCACTTGGAGGTGAAACAAACCAATCCGACCAAGCCGAAATTCTCCTTTACCTGAAGCCGCCCGATGCAGCGTGAGACCACCGACTTACTTTTTCGACCATCGCAAGGTTCCCACAAATTCCGGGCAATCGCCAGGTTCAATTGGCCAAGCCAGAGGGCTGGATCAACGTCCCAGCTCGGCGCCCGAAGCGCTTCGCAGGGCTTTAGTTGTCTCTGTGGGGCGTCTCTTTCGACGGAACCCTTTTCGGGAAAGAGTCGTCCTGCTTTGGGTCCCAAGGAAATATTCAGGTTCCCTGCCCAATCCATGTCAACCTCTTTGATTCTCTCCAAACTTCACACCTCAAATTTTGGCTGCCCCGTCCCTGACAAGAGACATTGACAGGGTATTTGTTGGGCTATGAGCATATTTTCGGATGTCCACAGGGTCCCACCAATGCAAAATCTGGGCAGTTTGTTGCTGCACCGAGACCCCAAAAGCGCATTGCCTGGCATTTCCTAGCCATTTGCCGACCTGTCGACTGAAGGCGAAGCCCACGCGCCGAGCGCCCAGCACCGTGCGCTGGCTGGAAGAGGCGTAGGGGGGGGAAAGGGACCGATGGTGACCGATTTTTTGGTTCAGGCTACCCTTTGCTGGGTTGTGTTGAGAGCAAAACCCGGGGATGGGGTCTTCCATTTAGAGACCACTCTGATAATTGCGGTTTCCGTTTCTAAGCCATCCAGGGTCCAACTTAGATGTTCGGATGTTTGGCCAAGTTAGTGCGTGGTTTCCTTGGGTTTCTAGCCCACGAAGGTTACAACTTCGGGCACTACTGACTTGGCAACGGAAGGTTCGAACAGCCAACGGCCGAGACCGTGAAAGGGAATCCTTAGACAGGAACATCAGTTTAGACGACCCTTCATGAGGTTCTAATAAATAGTACACGGGTTCCGATCGCTGGCACCAAAGGACAATGTTTGCATCAACACATGTCTTACCCATTCGGGTTCACCCAATCAATGCCCGGAATGCCCTCTTGCAGGGGACAACATCCGTCCCTCCCTACTTGGGGAGTTCGATTTGTCTGGGTTTCAGGACGAGCTCTTGAGCGAGGAGCGCGAATCCCCTTTGGCGAGGTCCAGGCCTCAGCAAGGGACACATTTCAGTTGGTAACAAGAATCCCCAGTCCATGACAGTGGATCCCAGTGACCTATGTAGGCAATCCGCCATGTTTCCTTTGGTTTTCAAACGCTGGTTGCCTACAAATGCAGGGAAATGGAAGCACCGGGATGACGAAAATCAAAAGCCAGAAGATTGGCTGTAAAAAGTGGCAACTGCTTCTCCAGTCCAATAGTAAACTCCTAGGTTTAGGCCAGGCGACCAAACGGGGCTTGGCAAGTTGAGTGGCCCCTGGTCTAAATCTGTCCAGAGACTGGTGCTTTCCTTTTAGACAATTCCCATGTGTTTCAAATGGATCACCAGTGACACAGCCACGGAGTTGTTCGGCTCTTGATTGCTCGAAATCACATGCGGGGCTCACAGCTTGCTTCGCACAGAAGTCAAGAGAGAGCAGTCTGCATGGATGAGTTGACGCATGGTTCCTTAAGACCTTCGATCCTTTTTCCTTTTGGGCAGCAGTTTCCTAAGCCTGCGAACAGGGTGTCAAAGATTGGAGGATATACCTACATCCTTCGGGAGATGAGAGTTGAGCCAGATTCCGGATTTTACCCCAAGACTTCCCTAAACCTAGTCCACACCCATCTTCCCACCTCCACACCCACCTTAAGAACAACAGAAGGTAATGGGGCATGGGTTCTTAAGTACCTGGCGAAGTTGCGGAGGACCAGTTTTCCCTGGTTGCGGCTCTCGGTTCACGTCTCCAGGCGCCTTCCCGAGCTTGGCACCGCTCGGAGTTGGATTACTGGGGAGCCTTCCAAAATGTGCAAGTTGTCAGAAGTTGGCCTTTCCGTTGCTGACAAATCGAGACTCCCAAACAGAGCTGAAGCCTTGCTTCGTCTGGGGCGGAACTCAACCGATGCCCCTTCATGCTCGCATCTTCAAACAAGCCCTGACAAGGTGTGTCCCTTACATTTCCCCCATCCAAGCCCAAGCAAACTTGAGCCGAGAACCAACTCCGGGACCGGTCGCGCCCGAACCCCGCGACTCGGGAGAGTCGCCTCGGGCCGTTCGGCGCTCCATGAGCCATGGATCGGGAGTCCCTGGCGGCGGCGGCGTACAGCACGTACCTGGCACCTAGCTCAGTCAACAGGCCGTGGAATCCATGGCAGCCGTTTCCATTTTGGAAAATATTTCATGAGTTTGGAAAACAAACAAACAACTTTATATACATTTATGTGCATATTTTGGCACTTTGGGCGAGGCTTTGCGTAGAAACGGCATCCCCAGCCACGATGGCCTGCCGCTTGCAACTGGCGCTAGAGTGGAAATCTTCAAGGCATGCCCAGGTAGAGGGCTGAGCAGTCGCCCGGCAAAGATGTCATTTGAACAAAATAGAAAAAGCCCCTCCCACTGCTTTATAGGATCTACCCCCTCAGCCCCCTCCTTTCCGTTGGTTTCCCTATAAGGGGGGAAGGCTTGATAAACCCATTCCCTTTTTGGGTGGAATCAAACCACCGCTGCAATAGGAGGTGCCGTTCTTCAACGGAATGGCCGTGTTGGGTTCCCTCTCATGAGATCTTCCTATTTAAACCCATAGAAAGGCCTCATGAAAGCTTGACCGGGGCTAGAAGGAGATTTGGGGGATGTTGAAACTTGAGAGGAAGAGCTGTTTCCTGACAAGAAGTTGTCCCCAAAAATTTGCCACTGCAAGGCTTAAACGGACTCCCCCCCTCAGAAACGAGACATTGCCATGGGGTAGGCCTGAGAGTACAGATCTTTCTCAAAGGGCAATGAAGGCTAGGGACCATCGCCAAATATTGGGTGTGCGTCTAGATGGGCGACTCCCTATGGTTTTCCTCTCCAAACCACCTCAAAGGTGGCTCCCTCAAAATGGGCTTTGGGCAGATTCCTTTCCAGGTTTTGGATACTCAGAGTGCCCCACCCTACTGACAGCCAGCATGACGGTTTTGATGGAATGTTTCACGAGCTCACGGGGCGAAGCGAGATCATCATGACCGGTCCCTTTTGTCTTTAGATGTCCGGAAAAAGCACAAAAAACGAGAGAGAAAAAAACACACTTGCTGATGCAGGTTACTCCCCATGGCAGGGTAGGTATGTGCTTGTAGGAGGCTTGCCCGGGGTGCTTCAAAGGGAAACCGAAGGGACGCCATGTTTGAGGTTCCTCATGTAAGACACGCTGAGAAGTCCCCCCTGTCTTGTGAGTGAAAAGGGATTTTCTGCAAACTCAGCAGCCAAATGTCTTAGCCCATACCATATCCAGCCTGAACCAACCCAAGACCCTAAACATGAGGGCTTTGCACCCCGGAAGACATCACATGCTCAAGTTTTGCTCAAATGATTAGACAGCGTTTCAACTACGTGGTGTACCACGCAAGCAAACATGGCTGTCTTCTGGTTTCCCTACCTTGAGACAAGGCCATACCCAAGTTCCGCTGCACTTCCGCAGGAAAAATTGCACGCTGCCCGGTTTCGCCTCAGGTGATGCTCCTGGTGTCCTTCTTCTTCGCCTACTGCCTGGCCCAGAAATGCCGGTCCTGCGTCTACCTCTCGGAAGCCGGGATGTCCTTGCTGGTGGGCTTTCTCGGAGGAGGCGCGGGAGGGGGGGGGGAAAGGCGCCTGCGCTAGTCTTCCCAAGGCAAGGGTGGGGGAATGAGGGGGTTGGCTCCCACTTTGTGATACCCCCATATTAATAAACAGGGGTTTATTAATCCGGAGTCAACATTACCAACCTCCCCAAGGAATGGAGAAGTAGTCAGTGGGAATGCCTTCAGCTAGTAATTATCACAGAAGTGGGGGTGGCAGTTCCGACAAACCCGCCCAACAGAGATAGCTACAGGGTCGTAGCCAATGTTTTTGGGGTGGGACATGACCCACTCTCCGAAACAACAAGTTTGGACACTTCCCAGTGCGTGCAATCTCAGAGAAGGCCTTGGACATAGTGGGACACCTGGAGCCGAAAGGTTGTCAGCGGGTTGGTCCTCTTTCTGCGAGGCCAACCCCTTTTGCTGGTGAGTGCTACGGACCCTGCTTGGGTGCTCAACCAAGTTAGTAGTTTGTTGGTAGCAAGCTAATAAGCCACTGCCAAGTTCCCGTTCAGTGGAGCCCTGTTGCTGGGTTTTCTTACCCAGGCTGGCGGCCAACCGCCTACAAACTTGGCACATCGAAGCAGTGCCCCGTTTTGTGAGCAACCCCTCGAACCCGAAAGGAGAACCCGAAATGTTCACTTCAGGGATCCAACATTACCAGACTCAACTTGTGTTTTGAACTTTCGGCCCTTTTGATTTTCCTTCATTATCCCTTTCCACCTGCAGACAGTTCACTTTTTGCATGGCGCCGACGTCTGGCCCAGCCAGGGATTGAAGGGGGGAGGTGGGGACCACAGGTTGAAGGGGGAGGTGGGGACCAGGGGTTGAAGAGGCGGGGACCAGGGGTTGAAGGGGGGGCCCACGCCTCTTTTTTTAGGATTGTGTCTGAAAAACAAGAAACAAACCGCTCCTCTGCGCAACCGCCAAATCCATTCACCCCACTTCGCGGTTGTTGGCATGTTTTGAGGTCTTCTGATTGTTTGGTTCAGTTCATTTTTTGTGGGCTACTAAAAGCAAGGTGGCAAGGTGCGTTTTGTTTTTGCCCCCACAGTTCATTTTTCGTAGGCTGCTAAAGAACAAGGTGTGTGTTTTTTTCTGCCCCCCACCACCCAGGCTTTAAAAATGGGCCCGCCCCCGTGTTTCTCGTGCCAAAGAGGCCTCATAGAGCTGCTGGTGCGCGAGGATGCCAGCGACCTGGCCGCCAAGGAACCCCCAACAGCGGTTTTTCAGTAGGGCCCTCCTTAGCCCCTTGTTTGGTTGGGAGGGCTCCCCTGGTAAAATAGAGAAAAAAAGAAAGAAAAACACACAACAAAGGGTAGCCTTATTCGAACCTCTCAAATCTGGAGGAGCTAGTCAACCCAAGTGAATTGTTGATGTCCAGCAAAGGGTCCCCAATTAAAACATAGTGCCCATCGCCTGTCTCTTGAACAGGCGACCTAGAGCGACCCCTGCACGACTGCCATTGAAAGCACCGTGCGCCATACTCAAAAAGACTGTTTGCTTACCTTTTTGTTTACAGGGGGTGTCCCAAGATCGAATTATCAATCCATCACGTGTCGAAGCCCGGGAACTCTGCAGGTCTCCAGTTGGTTGGCTCTCAAAACTGTATTCAAAGGGACCAAAAGGGGCCATTTCGCGATCCCATTCTCAGTCTCAGCTTTTTTCAGTTTCCTTTTAGCAAACCCATGGAATCCTTCTGGGATGGCAACGGGAGTATTGAGCTTCCACCAAGCGTGGGAAGCCCGCTCTTTTCCCGCTTCTTGGGGCCGCCTCTAAGCCGTACTTTGGACCACGTTGGTATGTTGTTGGCAACCTACGTCACAAAATACATTCCTTCCACGCCCCGGAGTTGACCCATTTGAACTTTCCCAGGCGAACCGCACAAGCCCGGCAACGACAAATGCAAGCAGCTGCTTGCGAGCAACCGTTTTTGCCTTCTCTCAGCAATTGTCGGCTTGGATTGCTGTGATGGTGTGAAGTGAGAAATGATAGACCCCTCTATTTGGAGAAACCAATTAAAGTGGACTGGAGGTGTTCCGGGGTGGTGTCCATTTACCCTGAGATCCTTCAATCCCAACCAGCAACTGAGGGTCACCCGATCAAATGCAAAAAGAACAAGTGCGTGTTGAAATAGACCACCGAAATTTTGGGTGGGCCAATGGGTGTTCCTTCTGGTTCCCTTTTAAATCAATCCCCCCCAAAACAAGGCGACCGCTGGACTTGAGGCGACCGCTTCGCGGAGAAGGAGCTGCGCCAGACCGTGGTGGGCTTCTCCTCTACGGCGCAACGAATGGGCGGAAGGGCGGTGTTCAGATCCTAAAAAGGTTTCGGAGAAGGCTAGATGGTTCACAATCAACCCTTCCAGCCGTGTGCCACCTGGTCGTGGTTTCCTTGTCACGAATCTCTTGGGTCAGGATCAGGGGAAATTCCCCCCTCCATTTTGTGCTTTCGGTTTCTTGGTTGCCACCCGGAGAGAGCGGCCGCCTGAAGACTACTCAAGCCCAATGCGAGTGGCCGGGGAAAAGAACACTCAACGCCCGTACATGCAAGGACGTATCATTGGGCAAGCCTCAGGCGACCTCTCTTTTGCTTGAGGTGCAAGAATCTTCCCAACTTGTGCAAGACGGCAACTTCAAAATGCTTGAGCCATGGCCTTGTCAAAGAGCCAGAGAAGATTTGAAGCGTTGCTCATTATTGACGGTGTGGCACGCTGGCTGAACCTTGCACTCGAGTCAAAGTGATGATTGAATTAACATATGCCTCTTAAACAAAAACTGGCGGCCAATGCCATACCAAAATGATTACTCAAGAGCTCACCTGACACTTTGTTGGTGGGCAAAATGATGTCCACCAGAGGGTCCCCATTTAAATTCACGCCCATTTGGAAAATAATGCCCAACGTCCATGACCATCCCTCACTAGAAAACAGGCCTTTTGGTCACATATGATGCGTGAATCCCTCTCTAAGAGACCTGCTACAATTTCAACATGTGATAGGTGCTGAGTTTGTCCTTTCAGGGCGGAACGTGTTAGAGAGAAATGTGCGGACAAGCATTCGGGTAAAGGGGCAAGGGGAAGACCCCAATAAACCATGCCAGTTGCTAGCATAGGTGTCCTTTTCCGGTCAGATGGCTATGGTTTAGTTGGGCTTTGTTCCATTTACCAGGGCGCCCTATCTTATCCTTGGACACCTATGGTTGCTAGGTGCTGCTCTGCGTTTTGCTGCCCCCCATCATTTTCGACTCCGGCTTCCGCATGCGCGGCGCCTTTTTCTGGGCCTGGAGCTCAGTCAATCGCTCAAACGTTAAACCAACACAACCACGGGTACACGAAGGCCCCTTTGAGAGAACCAGGGCAGGTTTCATGGTGGTGGCAGGGTGGAGGATATCCTCAAAAAACGACACACTCGCATTTCCCTTTGGTTTTTGCCCCCACATCTGGGCCAATTTAAAGGGGTCGGAACCGTCGGGTTTGGCAGGTGAGATGGCCGTGCGATTTGCCATCCCTCGTCCCCCTCCCCCTCCAAGACCCGCCCTCCCGCACCCCCCCACACTTGAGATAAAGGGGAAGCAAACGACAAGGTCTCAATTTCAACCAGGGCTAGAATCCTGTTTGAAAATAGGCCCGGAGCGCAGTCTTCTCCAAGCGGACGAAACACAATGCCATGTTCCAAGATGATCGGGGTTGTTTCCCTGGCCCCAAAGCAGACCCGCGGGCCCTCCAGTGGAGCACCCCACAGCAGCCCCACACCGACTTAGCTCCCCGAAGTGGAGTTCACCCAGCGCACTGAACTTGACCCATCCAAGGGGGGGAATTTTATGACTCCAGGGCTTGCTTCGTAGCCCTGTTTGTTTGCTGGGACATCAAATTGGGCCTCTTTTTTTCAAGACACTTTTGTGTGTGTGTGTGTGTGTGGCCCCCCTGTTCCTAAGGGGTTTTGCGGTCGTGCTTTTTCTCCTTTTTGGAGTCGGGTGCCACCATGCGGATTGCTGATTCAAAAGTACCTCGAGAGTGGCGATGGCACCCCTGATGAGGACGCCTCTCACGAGCGAAATTGTTTCAGGATAAGCATGCCGAAACTCCAACCTGATTCCGTGCTTGCGTCCTCCTACGTTTCGGGGTGCACATTCGCAGTTTGCCGTCTCATATCAAGTGTGTTTAGGCACTGCGTCCGGGCTTCGGTCAGTGTCTTGATCCCTGTTGTGGGCATCTGTTCCGACTCATGCACAGACATTTTCTACAGACTGTTACCGGACCTTGTCGCTCGTGACGCTTGACTGTTCCAGCTGATCTTCTCAATGCAGGCTTGGACTTCTCCCAGACCTTCCGGCACCCCAGACTGTTTCCGTGAACCGTTTCAGTCAGACCAACTGTTTGACAACCAATCCGACTACCCGACACATCAGGTGAGAAATCACGACGCCGTCAGCTTGCTCTTGGCTCGCAATTGTTGGCAATAGATGTCTCGCCCCCACGCAGGTCCGATGTCGAACTCGGCAGGCCCCATGGCCAAGGCATCTAGGAACACTGCCGGCCCTACGCCGCCCAGGTCTCCAGTGCACCAGTCAGCATCACCGAGCAGGAGTACGCTTGTTTTTTCCTTTTTGATGCTTCGTGTGACTAATGCAGTTTCCCGGTTTCAAACTGCCCCGAGCCCGGTTGAAATTCGGGTGTCGTTTTGGCAATGTATGTTGTCTCGGCAATGTGTGGCGTACCCCTAGCTTTTAACCCATTAGCAGTGTTGACGGCACACTCCCATCTCGTATTGCTTCCTGGACTTCTTGTACCGCGACCTCTTCGGCAACTTCCTGGACGGCACGGTATTTCTCTGGCTACTTCCTGACACTTGTGCGCGGCAACTTCTTCAACTGCTTCCTGGGCATCTTGTATTGCTTCCTGGACTTCTTGTACCGCGACCTCTTCGGCAACTTCCTGGACGGCACGGTATTTCTCTGGCTACTTCCTGACACTTGTGCACGGCAACTTCTTCAACTGCTTCCTGGGCATCTTGTATTGCTTCCTGGACTTCTTGTACCGCGACCTCTTCGGCAACTTCCTGGACGGCACGGTATTTCTCTGGCTACTTCCTGACACTTGTGCACGGCAACTTCTTCAACTGCTTCCTGGGCATCTTGTATTGCTTCCTGGACTTCTTGTACCGCGACCTCTTCGGCACTTCCTGGACGGCACGGTATTTCTCTGGCTACTTCCTGATACTTGTGCACGGCAACTTCTTCAACTGCTTCCTGGGCATCTTGTATTGCTTCCTGGACTTCTTGTACCGCGACCTCTTCGGCAACTTCCTGGACGGCACGGTATTTCTCTGGCTACTTCCTGACACTTGTGCACGGCAACTTCTTCAACTGCTTCCTGGGCATCTTGTATTGCTTCCTGGACTTCTTGTACCGCGACCTCTTCGGCAACTTCCTGGACGGCACGGTATTTCTCTGGCTACTTCCTGACACTTGTGCACGGCAACTTCTTCAACTGCTTCCTGTGCATCTTGTATTGCTTCCTGGACTTCTTGTATTGCTTCCTGGACTTCTTGTACCGCGACCTCTCCTGGACTTCTTGTACCTCGACCTCTTCGGCAAATATGGTACGGCATTTCTAATTAATATTTAGAGTCAGTGAATGAGGATTCCTGCAGGTGTTTCAAACAAGTTTGAAGGTTTCCCCGTTGGGACAGCCAGCCAACCTACAGGGTCCGTTTTGTTCCGGAATGCACACAATCGAAGTTCATACAAGTCAGCTGGGCAATTGAGTAGCCTTGCAAAAGGCTGTTGACTTGAGACCTCTTCACTGAACCTGGCTACCTTGTGCACGGCAACTTCTTCAACTGCTTCCTGGGCATCTTGTATTGCTTCCTGGACTTCTTGTACCGCGACCTCTTCGGCAACTTCCTGGACGGCACGGTATTTCTCTGGCTACTTCCTGACACTTGTGCACGGCAACTTCTTCAACTGCTTCCTGGGCATCTTGTATTGCTTCCTGGACTTCTTGTACCGCGACCTCTTCGGCAACTTCCTGGACGGCACGGTTTCTCTGGCTACTTCCTGACACTCTGGCTACTTCCTGACACTTGTGCACGGCAACTTCTTCAACTGCTTCCTGGGCATCTTGCTATTTGCTTCCTGGACTTCTTGTACCGCGACCTCTTCGGCAACTTCCTGGACGGCACGGTATTTCTCTGGCTACTTCCTGACACTTGTGCACGGCAACTTCTTCAACTGCTTCCTGGGCATCTTGTATTGCTTCCTGGACTTCTTGTACCGCGACCTCTTCGGCAACTTCCTGGACGGCACGGTATTTCTCTGGCTACTTCCTGACACTTGTGCACGGCAACCTCTTCAACTGCTTCCTGGGCATCTTGTATTGCTTCCTGGACTTCTTGTACCGCGACCTCTTCGGCAACTTCCTGGACGGCACGGTATTTCTCTGGCTACTTCCTGACACTTGTGCACGGCAACTTCTTCAACTGCATCCTGGGCATCTTGTATTGCTTCCTGGACTTCTTGTACCGCGACCTCTTCGGCAACTTCCTGGACGGCACGGCATTTCTCTGGCTACTTCCTCACACTTGTGCACGGCAACTTCTTCAACTGCTTCCTGGGCATCTTGTATTGCTTCCTGGACTTCTTGTACCGCGACCTCTTCGGCAACTTCCTGGACAGCACGGTATTTCTCTGGCTACTTCCTGACACTTGTGCACGGCAACTTCTTCAACTGCTTCCTGGGCATCTTGTATTGCTTCCTGGACTTCTTGTACCGCGACCTCTTAGGCAACTTCCTGGACGGCACGGTATTTCTCTGGCTACTTCCTGACACTTGTGCACGGCAGCTTCTTCAACTGCTTCCTGGGCATCTTGTATTGCTTCCTGGACTTCTTGTACCGCGACCTCTTCGGCAACTTCCTGGACGGCACGGTATTTCTCTGGCTACTTCCTGACACTTGTGCACGGCAACTTCTTCAACTGCTTCCTCTTGTATTGCTTCCTGCTTCTTGTATCTATTATTTCTCCGGCTACTTCCTGGTGCACGGCAACTTCTTCAACTGCTTCCTGGGCATCTTGTATTGCTTCCTGGACTTCTTGTACCGCGACCTCTTCGGCAACTTCCTGGACGGCACGGTATTTCTCTGGCTACTTCCTGACACTTGTGCACGGCAACTTCTTCAACTGCTTCCTGGGCATCTTGTGATGGCTTCTCAGTATTGCTTCCTGGACTTCTTGTACCGCGACCTCTTCGTCAACTTCCTGGACGGCACGGTGGAGCAGTTGAAAACCATTGCAGTCAAATGGGGGGCCCCCATCTCCTTAGTGAGCAAGGGATCGAAGCGAGCATTCCTGCAGCTCATCACGGTCATGTACATGTATGGCAAGTCGCAGGCTTCATGGCGGGCACGATTGCGTGCGGCAGCAACATGTCCGAGGTCTGTCGTTGGCAGAATCATCGCGACCGCGAGCACATGACCATGCCCGACTAGATGAGGTGGAACCACCTGGCCCCGGGATTCGGCATTCGGTCGACTCGGAGGATCTGGCTGACCCTCCGCCGCTAGTCGACGCTCAATCACTCCAGCTACACGTGGACCACCAGCACAACGCGGTGGTTAACCCCAAGTCGCTGTCCTACGGCGTCGTCACGGGGGATGCCAACGAGGCTATAGACCCACGCCCGAAGAGCTCCATGGCGCACACCCATGTTGGTCAGCCGAGCATCAAGAAGGCCAATGTTCCCAGCTCCATCATGGACAAGGGTGGGTCCGATCGGCGCAGAACAAAGCGGAAGCGATGCCGTGCTACATCCTCTGAGAGGACGCACTCCCCGGAGCCTCCAGCACGTCCAGTACCTCGCACTCCAGCGCCAGCTCCAGTATCTCCTTGCGTGGGCCCATTCTCCTCTCCTGAATCCCTTCCTGAAGCCCCTGCTCGTGCTCACTCCGATGCCGGCAATCCAGGAACTCCCCCGGAAGTACCTCGCGCCTGGACAGAGGAAGATGACCAGCAGCTTTGCAGCCTGAAAGCGGACAACTGGTCCAAGTACTCGTACAAATCGCTGGCCAAGAAGCTCAACCGGTCCATTGCGGATGTCACGCAGCGCTGGAGGAGCCTGGAACGTCTCAGAAAGTTGAAGGAGCAGCACCAGAAAGCGACCATCTCGAACCAATGCACCTGAACCCAGACGGTGATGCTACATGTCAAAATGACCGTGAGCAATTAAGCATAGGCAGGAGTTCTGCCAACAGTCCAAATTACCCATCGGCAATCATGATGGAGGCGGCTTTTAGGCGTTTCGGTTTTTCTTCCCCCTGCGGGGGGTGTGTGTGTGGCCCCCCTGTTCCTAAGGGGTTTTGCGGTCGTGCTTTTTCTCCTTTTTGGAGTCGGGTGCCACCATGCGGATTGCTGATTCAAAAGTACCTCGAGAGTGGCGATGGCACCCCTGATGAGGACGCCTCTCACGAGCGAAATTGTTTCAGGATAAGCATGCCGAAACTCCAACCTGATTCCGTGCTTGCGTCCTCCTACGTTTCGGGGTGCACATTCGCAGTTTGCCGTCTCATATCAAGTGTGTGTGTTTCAAAAAGGAAGCGAAAGGGACACCGCCCATTCTTTTCTTCCGATTTTGAGAACCCCCAGTGGAACCGAGGCTCTCGAGGCTCCCGAATGTTTCGTTGGCCACCAACCGGCGAGGCCAACATTGACAAGATCGCGGTGCTGGCATTCGCTGGCACCTTGATCTCTTCCCTCATCGTGGGCTTCATGTTGGCGGCCCGGCAGAGCATCTGGCAGAGGTCCAGAGGTCCAGAGGTCCATGGGTCAGGTGCCATGGGGGAGTTCTGGCGGTGCTTAGTAGCTCCCAACAAGCACTCATAGTCGCTGGGTTGCGATGGCTACTGCCTGGTTTAGCAGACCTTAGTGAGCTCGGGGGAAAACGCAGCGAAGAGAGAATGATACGGACATCGCACGATATGAGTTACATGCCATGAAGGCTTCTGTGGAAGTAATTGTGCCTCGAAATGTGGGACCCCGAGCATGGGCTTTGGTTTTTCTTTTGGTCTCCCTTCAAACTCACCCCAAAAGGGCACCCTCAAAAATCATGGACACGCCCCAATGATGCATTCATTTCTTCATCTTTCATTTAATTCTGGAGGCACTCCGAGCTCTCCGGAGCGAGGCTTGGTTCGTTTTTCCAGAAGGAAACCGTGGCCAGTTTGCTCAGATCCGGTGCAGGGCAAGTGGTGCCTTATCCAGGGTTTTGTTACCGTTCGGGGTGCCCATCCATGCGGGGGTTCCCTATCTTGAGACGAACCCATTTGGGTGTTGTCGTGCAATAAGGAGACCCCCTCAAATAGGGCCGGTTTCCTCTCGTTTTCGCCCAAATGCTTAGAACTGCATTTCGCGATTCTCCAAAGCGGTAGCCTCAAAAACACTTCCAAAGTTTCTGGACTTCATGCTTTCAGACGGCCCGTCGGGTAAAGCGAAAGTGTCCGTTCCGTTTTTGGGAAATCCACTCCCCTCGACGGGGGACCCGAGCAACGCCGCGCCTCAGGTCGCCGTGTCGGGGCTGTTGCCCTTCGCCCCCGACGATCCGGATGGGCCTGGCACCATTACGCTGCCGGAGGAGCGGGCGACGAAGGAAATTCGGGGTCCCCAGTCATGTCTGGAATCTCTCGATTGATTTTGGTTTTGCCTGCTTGCTTCCTTGTTTGCCTTGCTTGCTTGCTTGCTTGCTTCCTTGTTTGCCTTGCTTGCTTGCTTGCTTGCTTCCTTGCTTGCCTTGCTTGCTTGCTTGCTTGCTTGCTTGCTTGCTTGTTTGCCTTGCTTCCTTGTTTGCCTTGCTTGCTTGCCTTGCTTCCTTGTTTGCCTTGCTTGCTTGCTTGCTTGCTTGCTTGCTTGCTTGCTTGCTTGCTTGCTTGTTTGCCTTGCTTCCTTGTTTGCCTTGCTTGCTTGCTTGCTTGCTTCCTTGTTTGCCTTGCTTCCTTGTTTGCCTTGCTTGCTTGCTTGCTTGCTTGCTTGCTTGCTTGTTTGCCTTGCTTCCTTGTTTGCCTTGCTTGCTTGCCTTGCTTCCTTGTTTGCCTTGCTTGCTTCCTTGTTTGCCTTGCTTGCCTGCTTGCTTGCTTGCTTCCTTGTTTGCCTTGCTTGCTTGCTTGCTTGCTTCCTTGTTTGCCTTGCTTCCTTGTTTGCCTTGCTTGCTTGCTTGCTTGCTTGTTTGCCTTGCTTCCTTGTTTGCCTTGCTTGCTTGCCTTGCTTCCTTGTTTGCCTTGCTTGCTTGCTTGCTTGCTTGCTTGCTTATTTGCCTTGCTTCCTTGTTTGCCTTGCTTGCTTGCTTGCTTGCTTGTTTGCCTTGCTTCCTTGTTTGCCTTGCTTGCTTGCTTGCTTCCTTGTTTGCCTTGCTTGCTTGCTTGCTTGCTTCCTTGTTTGCCTTGCTTTGCCTGCTTGCTTCCTTGTTTGCCTTGCTTGCTTGCTTGCTTGCTTGCCTTGCTTCCTTGTTTGTCCTTGCTTGCTTGCCTTCCTTGCTTGCTGGCCTTTGTTTGCCTTGCTTGCTTGCTTGCTTGCTTGCTTGCTTCCTTGTTTGCCTTGCTTGCTTGCTTGCTTGCTTGCTTGCTTCCTTGTTTGTCCTTGCTTGCTTGCTTGCTTCCTTGTTTGCCTTGCTGGCTTGCCTGCTTGCTTCCTTGTTTGCCTTGCTGGCTTGCCTGCTTGCTTCCTTGTTTGCCTTGCTTGCTTGCTTGCTTGCTTGCTTGCTTCCTTGTTTGTCTTGCTTGCTTGCTTGCTTGCTTCCTTGTTTGCCTTGCTGGCTTGCCTGCTTGCTTCCTTGTTTGCCTTGCTGGCTTGCCTGCTTGCTTCCTTGTTTGCCTTGCTTGCTTGCTTGCTTGCTTGCTTGCTTGCTTGCTTCCTTGTTTGCCTTGCTTGCTTGCTTGCTGCTTCCTTGCTTGCCTTGCTTGCTTGCTTGCTTGCTTCCTTGTTTGCCTTGCTCTTCCTTGCTTGCCTTGCTTGCTTGCTTGCTTGCTTCCTTGTTTGCCTTGCTCTTCCTTGTTTGCCTTGCTTGCTTGCCTTGCTTGCTTGTTTTCTTGCTTTAAGGACACACCTGAAAGCTCAAGGAAGCAAACCATCACGACTTGCGCCTGGGGGGGGGGGGGTGGATCGAGCTCTCCCATCACGAAGGCCCTTGGCGAAAAAATAAGGAGCCGTGTTTCATTTGGGGAGGGCGGGGTCCTGGGGTAAGAGAAATACATCGCAGGGCAAGGGGTGTGTTGCAAAGCGGAAGGCACCTCTTTGGATGAGTCAAAGAACCGAAGGCAAAGAGCAGAAGAACACGGGTTTCGGCTTATGCTGAGGTAAACTTGATGCTTCAAAGAGAGCATGATCTGGAACATTGATCAAATTACCATGAGGAAATGCTTAAGAATATTAAAACCCAAAAGCCAGAGCCATGAATGCGACCGTGGCGTGGTTGTCACTAAACCCTGCGAAGCTGCCACTGAATTCAAGAGCTCGTGCCAAACATGAGACAACCCCCAAACCGGGGATTCGAATCCCTGGTTTGCCTTTGAGTTCTCCTTCAGATTACCCACGAACAGGGTACACACTCCCAAAAGACACCCGAGTTTGTCTGGACTTTGGTATCACTTGTCGGGTCGGGACCGCTTTTGTGCCAGCATCCAAGTCCGGACTTTCACCTTTTTCGGATCCAAGGGTGTTGTTTTTCTTTTAGTCCCACTAAATATCGAACTTTTTGCAGAGGGGACCACATCAGCCAGCCTGAAGTAGCGGTCCTAGGGGAAACCCAAAGGCTGTTTCACACTCCGGAAGTGAGGAGTAGGGACCCGCCACAAGACCCGTGAAACTCGGCTGCTTTTGGAGAGGCCCTGACCTTTGGGGCCTTGATCTCGGCCACCGACCCGGTGACCACGCTGGCCATCTTCGAGCAGCTGCAGGCCGACGCCGACTCCGAATCCGCCGGGTGATCGGAGCCGGAACGGCCGGCAGAGGTGGATCTTGGCCGCTGAATCGGGGGGGGGACTTTCTGGCGTTTGTTTTTTTCTTCTTGTTTTTTCTCCGTTTTTTTTTTGGGGGGGGGGGACCAAAAAGCCAGAACCTAAACAAACCCCTTTTAGAACTGAGCTTGGAAGCCCTCTTGGGTAACCGGAGCCGTTTTTAGGAGCGGACTCTTTGTTGGAACTTGTAGACGATTGTTTCGGGACACAGCCACTTTCTATAAAAGCCAAGGAGAGTCCCCGAAAAAGGCGAGTAGTCATGGCAATGGCCCTTCTTATTATCACTGCTATAAAAAGGAGCCTCAGGGGCAAGCAAAGTCGGGTGAGCTCCCGAACTTCCTGAGATGGGTGGCTTCTTTTTGGTTTCCCTTGAGCTACTTGAGCATATGCCTAAAAGGGGTGCCCTCAAAAGACGTTCGATCATGATGAAAACCCGTTTGGGTTGAAGCCTGGTCAACGGTTTCCTGTCGAGTTCTATGTCCAAAAGCTCGTCAAAGACTACCGCCGCCCAACTCATGTGTCGTAGGCCTGCTGAAAGCGTCCCACAAAGTGTACGGCCAGCCCCGATGGGTTGCCTGCGCCCTGACCCGACTAAACCTGACTGAAATCCAAAGCCTATACCCTCAACCAAAACCTGAATCCGAAACCTAAACCTACACCCTAAACGTAGTATTATCATAACCCCTAGACCGAAACCTAAGCCCTAAAACTGAAACGTTAGTCCTGATTTTACCATGGCCAGCGACTCTGACAAGGGTTTGCAACTGTGATCAGAGCTGGCTACAACCTTGGTCGACAGGGAACTACACCTTGTTATGACCAGGGTCAGAACCCACTGCTAGTTTTGTTGTAACTTGTTTTGTTGTAACTATGGTGGGAAGGGAACTAAACCCAGCTAACACCGTGGTCGGAACCAATTGCAACTGCTTCTTAGGACATGTTTGATGCAAACATGAACCCGTCGGGTGGCCACCCACGGCGCGGAAAGCATGTTGGGGAATTCCAGGACAGTGAGGTGGCCATGGGTCAAAAGCCCGTACCCCCAGTGAACATCCCAATCCTGACTAGAATAGCCTACAATGGGTGGTGCACCTACCCCAAAATGGGATCCCATTGGTTTTGACCCACAGCCAGGTGGTTGCTTGAATTCGCAGCCACAGATGTTGTCTCTTTCTTTGGAAATGCCCGTCCGTGCGTCATGAAGCAGGTTTCCCCACTATCCTGGCAGCCCCACTCTGGGTAAACCGCATGCCTGCAGAAGGTGGTGTCGTGACCAACAAGTTGCCTAACCGCCTCAAGGAACCTCATAGCTCAAACGCGCTGACCAGGATCACGCGCCTTTCGCGCGCCGCGCTGGTTTGATACAAGCAAGCCTTGTTTGTCAGGCGCCCATCGCAACCATTAGCAACTACAAGTAGCTATGGTCACAAGGCAACTAGTTAAGTGGATTGAGCGCCGAGATGGCGTCTGCCTGAACGCCAGGTGGACCCTCACCTGTTCAACGTGGTCTTCGGTTGGGGGCCCAGCAACTTTGGGGAACCCGCGGTTTGTGGACAAATTGCTTCAACGGTTTTAAAGCGAGCTTTCTTTGGGGTGATGTTTGATGTTTCTTTTTTGTGGGTAAAGCGCGCTTCATGAAGATTGTTTTTGGGGTTCCTCATGCCCGATTGGTGAATAGCAGTTTGCCCCGATGCTGTAGGTGGATTAACACGCAGATGAACGAGCCCAAGAAACCAGGAAAGGCCCCCCTTTCTGGGTTCCATGTTCATTTGGGGAGTACACCAACCAAGGGGCCACTATGCAGGAGAAACTACTGGCACGGTGTCGCAACAGGGGTGGCTTCAGCAGGGATGGGGGCCATCCCAACTTTTGCCAATCACTCCTTCTTGGCGTCTCCAACGAATGAAGTACTGCTAGTCTTTATTTCCCATTCAAGGTTTGGGTCATGGGGCAGCTCACTCACTTTCCATCCAACAACCAGGGGACGCAATCTAAGCTTACCATGCCTGCTTGAGGAAACCTGCGTACCTTTTTGACCGTGACTCATATGAGGAACTTACTTCGAAAGTGGATGGGTTTTCTGTAAAGGCACTCCAAACGCAAAACAACATACCCTGTACAGCTAAGGGCACTGCCCAGTAGAGTGATTCGTTTTGATCGTGCGTGCGTGCGTGCGTGCGTGCGTGCGTGCGTGCGTGCGTGGGTGGGTGGGTGGGTGGGTGGGTGGGTGGGTGGGTGGGTGGGTGGGTGGGTGGGTTTCTGTGTGTGTGTGTGTGTGTGTGGGTGGGTGTGTGTGTGTGTGGGTGCGTGCGTGCGTGCGTGTGTGCCTGTGTGCGTGTTTGAGCAATTCTGGTTCAGAGAAAAATCCGGAAGGCAAGCCGCCACTTTTGGGCCCCCCTCATTTGGCACAACATAAAAATTTGGGGCATGGCACCCTTCCAGCTCAGTTTTCTTGAGCAAGCACACGGTTCCAAGTTTTGACATGTATGCATGTATGTGCTGACTGCATTTTTGAGATATGCTGCATATGGAGATCTTTCAGCCGATTCAGGTGAGAGCGTTCTCAACGATGCGGTTTCCATCGTGCTCTTCCACTCGTTCTCCAAGTCGATCGGCGTTAAGGACTGAGGCTCAGAAATCTAAGGGAGCAATGATCATAGCCATAAGAAGCTGACGGTCAAACATATGCTCCTTTTTGGACCCGCCTCCTTTTGAAGGGGCCACAGGCCGCGGGCCCCGTGCCCCTAATTTGGCAACCCCGGCCACGTGAAGGTTGTTCATTGGAAGGGCTTTCCAACTATGGTGTAAATGCTGTGCATGGCCGCAGGGTTTTTGATGGGATCTTTTTCGAAAGAGGCTGTGGTTTTTGAGATGGTATAGGGACACGGAAAGGAACACGTCCCAGGTGGTACCCCTACTTCACGAGAAAATCAAAGTAGCCAAATGTTCGCGGAGTCTTCCCTCATTTCCCCCCCATTTTGTTTCCGCTCGCCCCAATGGGGGCAATGGGGGCGCTATGGTGTTCGCTCATGCAGAAGGCTTGGGCCGGGGTCCTGATGTTCTCCCTTTCAATAGTTTTAACCGGTGCCTTGTGGGCCAATTCCAAGTGAGCCTGTTGGTGTGATCTGGGGGCTTGTCTTAGGTGAGTGTTTCTCAGCTGGTTGATCTCTTGCCTCATACCAAGGGGAAACACGCTCGGTTGAGTTGTCCAGTTGTCCAGATTCTGCCTTTGACATCGCTAGGTTGCGGGCGTCAACTAATCAAAGCCTTGGGCAAGATGTGGGTGGAGCCCTTCAGGGAAGGTGGTTTCCTTCTGGTTTCCCTTCAAACAACTCCCCAAAAAGGGTGTCTCTTTCTTTCAAAACCCTTCTGGTAGGGTCTTGTCCTAAACCCCTCTTCATCTTTTCCTTTCAAAAAACCCCTCCCAAGAAGGGCACCCATCAGAACACCCATGCCCCATGCATTGCATTCAGCTCGTCTTTTTTTTTCCTCTTTTGAGACACTGGAGGACAAGACCGCCTTGGCCAGCGTCTTCCGAGACTCGGCTGGGCTCGAAGCACAGGCCTTCGGACCCTGCAGACCCGGCCACGAACAGAACATGCCATTGGTTTAAGGGGGGGAGTGGCGTTTGCCGTGGTGCTGTTTGTTTGTTTGTTTGCTTGAGTTTCTTTTGTTTCTTTGTTTGTTTGTGTACTTGAGTTTGTTTGATTGTTTGTTTGCTTGAGTTTGTTTGGTTGTTTAATTTGTTTGTTTCTTTGGTTGTTTAATTGTTTGTTTGCTTGAGTTTGTTTGTTTGTTTGTTTGTTTGTTTCTTTCTTTCTTTCTTTCTTTGTTTGTTTGTTTGTTTGTTTGCTGGAGTTTCTTTGCTTTCTTTGTTTGTTTGTTTGCTTGAGTTTCTTTGCTTTCTTTGTTTGTTTGTTTGTTTGTTTGTTTGCTTGAGTTTGTTTGATTGTTTGTTTGCTTGAGTCTGTTTGGTTGTTTAATTTGTTTGTTTCTTTGGTTGTTTAATTGTTTGTTTGCTTGAGTTTCTTTGGTTTATTTGTTTGTTTGTTTCTTTTGTTCTTTGGTTGTTTGATTGTTTGTTTGCTTGCGTTTGTTTGTTTGTTTGTTTGTTTGTTTGTTTGTTTCTTTGTTTCTTTGTTTGCTTGAGTTTCTTTGCTTTCTTTGTTTGTTTGTTTGTTTGTTTGTTTGCTTGAGTTTGTTTGATTGTTTGTTTGCTTGAGTCTGTTTGGTTGTTTAATTTGTTTGTTTCTTTGGTTGTTTAATTGTTTGTTTGCTTGAGTTTCTTTGGTTTCTTTGTTTGTTTGTTTCTTTGGTTCTTTGGTTGTGTGTTTGTTTCTTTGTTTGTTTGTTTGTTTGTTTGTTTGTTTGTTTGTTTGTTCCTTTTTTCTTTGTTTGTTTGTTTGATTGAGTTTCTTTGGTTTCTTTGTTTGTTTGTTTGCTTGAGTGTGTTTGATTGATTGTTTGCTTGAGTCTCTTTGGTTTCTTTGTTTGTTTGTTTGCTTGCGTTTGTTTGTTTGCTTGAGTTTGTTTGGTTGTTCAATTTGTTTGTTTCTTTGGTTGTTTCATTGTTTGTTTGCTTGAGTTTCTTTGGTTTCTTTGTTTGTTTGTTTCTTTGTTTGTTTGTTTGTTTGTTTGTTTGCTTGAGTTTGTTTGTTTGTTTGTTTGTTTGTTTGTTTTTTTGTTTCTTTGTTTCTTTGGTTCTTTGTTTGTTTGTTTGCTTGAGTTTCTTTGGTTTCTTTGTTTGTTTGTTTGCTTGAGTTTGTTTGATTGTTTGTTTGCTTGAGTTTGTTTGGTTGTTTAATTTGTTTGTTTCTTTGGTTGTTTAATTGTTTGTTTGCTTGAGTTTCTTTGGTTTCTTTGTTTGTTTGTTTCTTTGGTTCTTTGGCTGTTTGATTGTTTGTTTGCTTGAGTTTGTTTGTTTGTTTGTTTGTTTGTTTCTTTGTTTCTTTGTTTCTTTGTTTCTTTGTTTGCTTGAGTGTTTTTTTTGTTTCTTCTTTTGTTTCTTTGTTTCCTTGCTTCTTTATTTGTTTGTTTGTTTGTTTGTTTGTTTGTTTGTTTGTTTGTTTCTTTGGTTCTTTGATTGATTGTTTGCTTGAGTTTGTTTTGTTTCTTTGCTTGTTTCTTTGTTTGTTTGTTTGTTTGTTGATTTCCTTGATTGTATGTTTCTTTGTTTGCTTGTTTCTTTGTTTTCGTGTTTCTTTGTTTCTTTATTTGTTTGTTTGTTTGTTGTTTGTTCTGTGTTTCTTTGTTTCTTTGGTTTCTTTGTTTGTTTGTTTCTTTGGTTATTTGATTGTTTGTTTGCTTGAGTTTGTTTGTTTCTTGGTTTCTTTGTTTGCTTGAGTTTTTTTGTTTCTTTGTTTGTTTGTTTGTTTGTTTGTTTCTTTGGTTGTTTGATTGTTTGTTTGCTTGAGTTTGTTTGTTTCTATGTTTCTTTGCTTCTTTCAGTGTTTGATTGTTTGTTTGCTTGAGTTGTTTTTCTTCTTTGTTTTTTGTTTGTTTGTTGATTTCCTTGATTGTCTGTTTCTTTGTTTGCTTCTTTCTTTGTTTTCGTGTCTCTTTGTTTCTTTGTTTGTTTGTTTGGTTCTTTGCTTGTGTGTTTGTTTGATTGTTTCTTTGTTGGAACTGTTTGTTTGTTCCCTTGATTGACGGTTTCTTGTTTTGTTTCTTTCTTTCTTTGTTTTCGTATTTCTTTGTTTCTTTGTTTCTTTCAGTGTTTGATTGTTTGTTTGCTTGTGTTTGTTTGTCTCTTTGTTTGCAGTTTTTTGTTCGATTGTTTGTTTGATGATCGATGGTTTCTTTGTTTTCTTTGTTTATTTGTCCAAATGTTTCTTGGTTTGTTTGTTTCTTTGTTTGTTTGTTTGTTTGTTTGGTTGTTTGTTTGTTTGCTTCTTTCTTTTTTTGTTTGTTTGCTTTTCGTTTCTTTGTTTGTTTGGTGGTTTTTCGTGTCTTTGTTTGTTTTGTTTGTTTTGTTTGTTTTGTTTGTTTTGTTTGTTTTGTTTGTTTGTTTGTTTGTTTGGTTCTTTGGTTCTTTGATTGATTGTTTGCTTGAGTTTGTTTTGTTTCTTTGCTTGTTTCTTTGTTTGTTTGTTGATTTCCTTGATTGTATGTTTCTTTGTTTGCTTGTTTCTTTGTTTTCGTGTTTCTTTGTTTCTTTATTTGTTTGTTTGTTTGTTGTTTGTTCTGTGTTTCTTTGTTTCTTTGGTTTCTTTGTTTGTTTGTTTCTTTGCTTATTTGATTGTTTGTTTGCTTGAGTTTGTTTGTTTGTTTGTTTCTTTGTTTGCTTGAGTTTTTTTGTTTCTTTGTTTGTTTGTTTGTTTGTTTGTTTCTTTGGTTGTTTGATCGTTTGTTTGCTTGAGTTTGTTTGTTTCTTTGTTTCTTTGCTTCTTTCAGTGTTTGATTGTTTGTTTGCTTGAGTTGTTTTTCTTCTTTGTTTTTTGTTTGTTTGTTGATTTCCTTGATTGTCTGTTTCTTTGTTTGCTTCTTTCTTTGTTTTCGTGTCTCTTTGTTTCTTTGTTTGTTTGTTTTGTTCTTTGCTTGTGTGTTTGTTTGATTGTTTCTTTGTTGGAACTTTTTGTTTGTTCATTTCCTTGATTGACGGTTTCTTGTTTTGTTTCTTTCTTTCTTTGTTTTCGTATTTCTTTGTTTCTTTGTTTCTTTCAGTGTTTGATTGTTTGTTTGCTTGTGTTTGTTTGTCTCTTTGTTTGCAGTTTTTTGTTGGATTGTTTGTTTGATGATCGATGGTTTCTTTGTTTTCTTTGTTTATTTGTCCAAATGTTTCTTGGTTTGTTTGTTTCTTTGTTTGTTTGTTTGTTTGTTTGGTTGGTTGTTTGTTTGTTTGCTTCTTTCTTTTTTTTGTTTGGTTTGCTTTTCGTTTCTTTGTTTGTTTGGTGGTTTTTCGTGTCTTTGTTTGTTTTGTTTGTTTTGTTTGTTTGTTTGTTTGTTTTGTTTGTTTTGTTTGTTTTGTTTGTTTGTTTGTTTGTTTGTTTGTTTTGTTTGCTTGTTTGTTTGGTTGTTTGTTTGTTTGTTTGTTTGTTTGTGTGTTTGTTTGTTTGTTTGTTTGTTTGTTTGTTTGTTTGTTTGTTTGTTTGTTTGTTTGTTTGTTTGTCCTTTGTTTGTTTGTTTGTTTGTTTGTTTGTTTGTTTGTTTGTTTCTTCGGTTGTTTGTTTGTTTGGAGTTTGTATTTGTGGCTTTGTGTCTTCGTTTCTTTCTGTCTTTATTTGTTTGTTTCTTTGTTTTTTTTGGGTCCTTGTTTTTGTGTTTCTGTGTGTCTTGGCTTATTTGCTTCTTTGTTTCGTTTTTGTGTTTCATTGTTTGTTTGGTTGTTTGTTTGTTTGTTTTTTTTGTTTTTGGTTTGTTTGTTTGTTTGTTTGTTTGTTTGTTTGTTTGTTTCTGTTTTGTTTTGTTTTGTTTTGTTTTCTTTTGTCCTGTCTTTTTTGGTTCTGATTTTTTGTTGTTCTCGGGCCTGAAAAGACGCGTTGCGGTCCCCCATTTGCCCTGGAGGGTGGGGCCTTGGGCGTAGCAACTCGTCCTATTTGACTGCGGGCCATGCCCTGGAAGACCAAGTTTCGCGAGGGACACTTGGTCAGGTTCCGTGGCAAGGTGGGTGAGAGGTCTTTCATGTGTTGACCTGATGAATTTTGAGTTGTTCATCAGGGCATCCCCTGGACAAAAGCCCTCCACACTCAAACAGGGAGGTGGGAAAGTTGAGGAGTATTCCCAAGAGACAGATGACTTCTTGCCTGGTCCCCAGCACCTTTTGTTTCCCATCCTTGTTGTGACCTTCTTGACGACGTGTCTCTTCCGCATCTTCTTTACATGTTTGTTGTTCTTGTTTTTGGCGTTCCTGTTGTCCTCCGAGTTGTGACTGTGACTCAATTCTAGAGGGCCTTATTTTAGCGCTTTTCTCTTATGGCTGCCCACAAGGCTTAGGGCAACTTTTTTGCCCTCCCCCCCCGCCCATCAGAAGCTTCCTTCAGAAATCTTTCCTCAAGGCTTTGGGGGCTAATTGTTTCATTTCCGGGTTGGTTTCTTTTGGTTCCCCCTGAAAACCAATGGGGTATTCTGCAAGACCAACGTAAAGGCATTCGGGAAGGAATGCTGATGGACTTCGTGGTGATTTTCGCGGGCTCGGCCTTGATCGGTGCTGCCCTGGGCTGCTTTTCGGCCCTTCTATTCAAGCCGGGGCCCCAATGCGCTGAGAGCTGCGCATTGGAGAAGATCAAATGGGGGGGTTGCACAGACATGTGGGTCAAAACCAATGGTACCATTTTGGGGTAGGTGCACCACCCATTTTAGTCTATTTTAGTCGGGATCGGAATGTTCACTGGGGGTACGGGCTTTTGACCCATGGCCACAATACTATTTTTGCATCATGACCTAACATCGTTTTGGCGACCTTACAAACCGTAATACATCCGGACAGTGTTGCTCAAGAAGATCTTCGTCCGCTTCGTCCGCTTCGTCCGCTCCGTCCCCTCAGTTTCTGCCACAATGTGCCGGGGTCAAACTATGGAGTTTACGTCTCGCTGCGTGGTGCTGGTGGACCCTTACTCCACGGGAGCCATGCTGGCACCCGAGTGGGACCTCCGAGGCTATGGCGTGATTGCCCTGTGGACCAAGGAGTGCGGCGAGAACCGCTGGCACCTGCCCAAGGCGGCTGAGGGTTTTCCAGAGAAGTTCCTGGCAGAGGTGGACGAGCAAGACACCCTGGCTGAGACTGTGTTCGCGCTGCACAAGGCGGCCGGAGAAGAGCCGCTGGCGATGATCTGTGGCGGTGAGACCGGGGTCAAATTGGCCGACGCCTTGTCGGAGCACATGGGCCTGCGGGGCAACACCACGGCCGGCGGCATGGCGAACCGCCGCGACAAGCAGGTGCAGCAGGACGCGGTGAGGGACTTCGGGCTGCGCTCGGTGCGCTCAGTGTGTGGCAGGGCCTGGCAGGAAGTGAAGGACTTCGCAGAGACGGAGGTGCTGCCGATGATCGTGAAGCCCGTGGAGTCTGCTGGCTCTGATGGGGTGAAGCTTTGCCACAGCCTGGCAGAGGTGGAGGAGCACTTCCAACTGCTCATGACGTCTCAGCGCAAGTGTGGCGCCCAGGGCGCCGCCGTGTTGTTGCAGGAGTATCTCAAGGGCACGGAATACATCGTGGATCATGTCTCTCGTGATGGCGTGCACAAGACCACCATGGTCTGGGTCTACGACCGCCGCCCTGCCAATGGCGCTGGCTTCGTTTGCTTCGGGCAGCAGTGCGTCTTGCCGGACAGCCCCGTAGCCCAGCAACTCATCGCCTACACTCGCGGCTGTCTGGATGCCTTGCGCATCACCAACGGCGCCACTCACACGGAGGTGATGATGACCGAGACTGGGCCCTGCCTGGTGGAAGTCAACAGCCGTTGCCATGGCGCCGCAGGGTCTTGGATGCCCTTGGCGCGAGCCATGGCGGGCTACACGCAGGTGGATGTGTGCGTGGATGCCTTTCTCGATGCCAAGGCCTTCAATGGCCTTCCGGAAGTGCCTCCTGCGTTTCGGGCCTCTGGGCAGGTGTCCATGCTGGTGTCCTACCATGAGGGCCAGGTGGAAGCGACGCAGTTCCAGAAGGTTCGAGAGCTCCAGTCTGTGGTATTTCTGGAGGAAAACCTTCATGCCGGTCATCGCGTGGAGAAGACCATTGATATCTTCAGCCTCGTCGGAATGTGCGTTTTGGTGCACTCCGATCCTGCCGTGCTCGCCGGCGATCTCGCCTGCATCCGTCAGATGGAGCACGATGGCTCCCTGTTTGTGTTGGCCAACTGAGCGGAAACATCCTCTTTGCATGACTTGTTCTGCACCATACTCCCCCTGTGAGTTGTGTCATGATTTGCATGGAGTAGCATTGTCTTCCTCCCGTCTCCTTGGTCAGTCCATGGGGATGGTAAAGCCCCAAGGGCTTCAGCCAGCGTGCTGGTGCATGTGTTTCACCCGGGGAGACCACGAAGTGTCGAACTGGGTGAGCTTTCAAGGAGCAAGGATTTGGCTACCGTGACTCTGTGGCTTGCAAGGGCAGGTCAGGAGCTTGTACAGGCTTCGCTTGAAGTTTGGAGCCAATGCCACGCCCCTGGAGCTAGAACAACAGATCTTTAGAAGACAACCAGGCCCATCATGTTTTTGCTCACATTTTGCATGCCGCAGCGTGAGTCAAACCTTCGGTTGTTGTTTGTCATGCCCATGTGTGTGTGTGTGTGTGTGTGTGTGTGTGTGTGTGTGTGTGTGTGTGTGTGTGTGTGTGTGTGTGTGTGTGTGTGTGTGTGTGTGTGTGTGCGTGTGTGCGTGTGTGCGTGCGTGTGTGTGCGTGTGCGTGTGCGTGTGCCGATCATCTACGGCAAGTACAGCGACCTCACAAATCGGTAATATTCTTGTTTGCAGATGTCTCATGTATAGCTGCACATCCAGAAAGTCTTGCTCAAGAGGATCTTCCGCTTCGTCCGCTTTGTCCGCTCCGTCCCCTCAGTTTCTGCCACAATGTGCCGGGGTCAAACTATGGAGTTTGCGTCTCGCTGCGTGGTGCTGGTGGACCCTTACTCCACGGGAGCCATGCTGGCACCCGAGTTGGACCTCCGAGGCTATGGCGTGATTGCCCTGTGGACCAAGGAGTGCGGCGAGAACCGCTGGCACCTGCCCAAGGCGGCCGAGGGTTTTCCAGAGAAGTTCCTGGCAGAGGTGGACGAGCAAGACACCCTGGCTGAGACTGCGTTCGCGCTGCACAAGGCGGCCGGAGAAGAGCCGCTGGCGATGATCTGTGGCGGTGAGACCGGGGTCAAATTGGCTGACGCCTTGTCGGAGCACATGGGCCTGCGGGGTAACACCACGGCCGGCGGCATGGCGAACCGCCGCGACAAGCAGGTGCAGCAGGACGCGGTGAGGGACTTCGGGCTGCGCTCGGTGCGCTCAGTGTGTGGCAGGGCCTGGCAGGAAGTGAAGGACTTCGCAGAGACGGAGGTGCTGCCGATGATCGTGAAGCCCGTGGAGTCTGCTGGCTCTGATGGGGTGAAGCTTTGCCACAGCCTGGCAGAGGTGGAGGAGCACTTCCAACTGCTCATGACGTCTCAGCGCAAGTGTGGCGCCCAGGGCGCCGCCGTGTTGTTGCAGGAGTATCTCAAGGGCACGGAATACATCGTGGATCATGTCTCTCGTGATGGCGTGCACAAGACCACCATGGTCTGGGTCTACGACCGCCGCCCTGCCAATGGCGCTGGCTTCGTTTGCTTCGGGCAGCAGTGCGTCTTGCCGGACAGCCCCGTAGCCCAGCAACTCATCGCCTACACTCGCGGCTGTTTGGATGCCTTGCGCATCACCAACGGCGCCACTCACACGGAGGTGATGATGACCGAGACTGGGCCCTGCCTGGTGGAAGTCAACAGCCGTTGCCATGGCGCCGCAGGGTCTTGGATGCCCTTGGCGCGAGCCATGGCGGGCTATACGCAGGTGGATGTGTGCGTGGATGCCTTTCTCGATGCCAAGGCCTTCAATGGCCTTCCGGAAGTGCCTCCTGCGTTTCGGGCCTCTGGGCAGGTGTCCATGTTGGTGTCCTACCATGAGGGCCAGGTGGAAGCGACGCAGTTCCAGAAGGTTCGAGAGCTCCAGTCTGTGGTATTTCTGGAGGAAAACCTTCATGCCGGTCATCGCGTGGAGAAGACCATTGATATCTTCAGCCTCGTCGGAATGTGCGTTTTGGTGCACTCCGATCCTGCCGTGCTCGCCGGCGATCTCGCCTGCATCCGTCAGATGGAGCACGATGGCTCCCTGTTTGTGTTGGCCAACTGAGCGGAAACATCCTCTTTGCATGACTTGTTCTGCACCATACTCCCCCTGTGAGTTGTGTCATGATTTGCACGGAGTAGCATTGTCTTCCTCCCGTCTCCTTGGTCAGTCCATGGGGATGGTAAAGCCCCAAGGGCTTCAGCCAGCGTGCTGGTGCATGTGTTTCACCCGGGGAGACCACGAAGTGTCGAACTGGGTGAGCTTTCAAGGAGCAAGGATTTGGCTACCGTGACTCTGTGGCTTGCAAGGGCAGGTCAGGAGCTTGTACAGGCTTCGCTTGAAGTTTGGAGCCAATGCCACGCCCCTGGAGCTAGAACAACAGATCTTTAGAAGACAACCAGGCCCATCATGTTTTTGCTCACATTTTGCATGCCGCAGCTTGAGTCAAACCTTCGGTTGTTGTTTGTCATGCCCGTGTGTGTGTGTGCGGAGCATCTACGGCAAGTATGGCGACCTCACACATCGGTAATATTCTTGTTTGCAGTCTTGCTCAAGAGGATCTTCGTCCGCTTCGTCCGCTCCGTCCCCTCAGTTTCTGCCACAATGTGCCGGGGTCAAACTATGGAGTTTGCGTCTCGCTGCGTGGTGCTGGTGGACCCTTACTCCACGGGAGCCATGCTGGCACCCGAGTTGGACCTCCGAGGCTATGGCGTGATTGCCCTGTGGACCAAGGAGTGCGGCGAGAACCGCTGGCACCTGCCCAAGGCGGCCGAGGGTTTTCCAAAGAAGTTCCTGGCAGAGGTGGACGAGCAAGACACCCTGGCTGAGACTGCGTTCGCGCTGCACAAGGCGGCCGGAGAAGAGCCGCTGGCGATGATCTGCGGCGGTGAGACCGGGGTCAAATTGGCCGATGCCTTGTCGGAGCACATGGGCCTGCGGGGTAACACCACGGCCGGCGGCATGGCGAACCGCCGCGACAAGCAGGTGCAGCAGGACGCGGTGAGGGACTTCGGGCTGCGCTCGGTGCGCTCAGTGTGTGGCAGGGCCTGGCAGGAAGTGAAGGACTTCGCAGAGACGGAGGTGCTGCCGATGATCGTGAAGCCCGTGGAGTCTGCTGGCTCTGATGGGGTGAAGCTTTGCCACAGCCTGGCAGAGGTGGAGGAGCACTTCCAACTGCTCATGACGTCTCAGCGCAAGTGTGGCGCCCAGGGCGCCGCCGTGTTGTTGCAGGAGTATCTCAAGGGCACGGAATACATTGTGGATCATGTCTCTCGTGATGGCGTGCACAAGACCACCATGGTCTGGGTCTACGACCGCCGCCCTGCCAATGGCGCTGGCTTCGTTTGCTTCGGGCAGCAGTGCGTCTTGCCGGACAGCCCGGTAGCCCAGCAACTCATCGCCTACACTCGCGGCTGTTTGGATGCCTTGCGCATCACCAACGGCGCCACTCACACGGAGGTGATGATGACCGAGACTGGGCCCTGCCTGGTGGAAGTCAACAGCCGTTGCCATGGCGCCGCAGGGTCTTGGATGCCCTTGGCGCGAGCCATGGCGGGCTACACGCAGGTGGATGTGTGCGTGGATGCCTTTCTCGATGCCAAGGCCTTCAATGGCCTTCCGGAAGTGCCTCCTGCGTTTCGGGCCTCTGGGCAGGTGTCCATGTTGGTGTCCTACCATGAGGGCCAGGTGGAAGCGACGCAGTTCCAGAAGGTTCGAGAGCTCCAGTCTGTGGTATTTCTGGAGGAAAACCTTCATGCCGGTCATCGCGTGGAGAAGACCATTGATATCTTCAGCCTCGTCGGAATGTGCGTTTTGGTGCACTCCGATCCTGCCGTGCTCGCCGGCGATCTCGCCTGCATCCGTCAGATGGAGCACGATGGCTCCCTGTTTGTGTTGGCCAACTGAGCGGAAACATCCTCTTTGCATGACTTGTTCTGCACCATACTCCCCCTGTGAGTTGTGTCATGATTTGCATGGAGTAGCATTGTCTTCCTCCCGTCTCCTTGGTCAGTCCATGGGGATGGTAAAGCCCCAAGGGCTTCAGCCAGCGTGCTGGTGCATGTTTTTCACCCGGGGAGACCACGAAGTGTCGAACTGGGTGAGCTTTCAAGGAGCAAGGATTTGGCTACCGTGACTCCGTGGCTTGCAAGGGCAGGTCAGGAGCTTGTACAGGCTTCGGTTGAAGTTTGGAGCCAATGCCACGCCCCTGGAGCTAGAACAACAGATCTTTAGAAGACAACCAGGCCCATCATGTTTTTGCTCACATTTTGCAGCACCCCCTCCTGACACATGCGGCCATTCCTCCAGCTCTCTTGTACCCACGTTCCAGGAGCAAGTATGGTTGGAACATGCTGCGCCCTCTTTTTATGCCTCACCATGAACATGTTGATTTTGAAATGTTGATTTTGAAGTGTCCCTAAACCATCCTCAGCCAGCATCTTGCATCTGATTTTCCAGGACCAAGGACCCGGTAAGAAACGCGCCCGAGGCACTCGGAGCTGCCAAGCCACACGGAGCAGCACGGGCCGAAGCTGGAGCTGGCCATCTTCCTGGCCGGGGAATGTCGGATGCGGTCGCTTTGGGTATGGGTCAAAACTATACCACCAGGGGGCCGCAAATTTTACTGTAGTCCATGTTTCCATTTAGCAGGGTTCCATTTTGGTTTGGATGTTGCCAAATGGGCCACCCGGGCCGACTTGGGACTCAGAAGTTAGGGGAACTAGCAACCTGGCCGACCCAAGTAGGTTTGGGGGCAGGTGTTGAAAGGTACCTACAGGAAGCACAGGTCACCTGCAATCTTGGCGGCTAGATGTAAACTTTTGGGAGTTTGGCTTGCGGGATCGACACGAACAGTTCACTTCCAAGAGATCAGCGAGACCCAACAGGCCCATCCATCTTCGAGATCTGGGGCCAACCCCCTTCCCCCCCCCCCCCACCCCACCCGGAAAAAGGCCTTTGGGGAGTCTCCCCAGAGCGGTTCTACCCGCGCAAGGAGACTTTCAACACTGGTGTTCGTTGCTTTTCTTCGGATCTCAATGGAGTCTGCCAGATTCGTAGGCCTCAAAACCGCTTGGGGTAGATGAAGTTGTTAGGGTCAGAATTGGTTGGACTTGCGTCCCAAGTGGGTGCTGCAAACTTGCGCTTTGATAAGACTCTTTATCATGGGGTGTGGGTAGACGGTTTGAACAAGATGTTTTGACTATGACACTTTGGATCATGGTTGTGGACAAAAAGTTGGACCCCCTTGAAGAGGGTTTCTGCACAGGGTCTCTTCATTTACCTAGGCGGGTCAAAAGGTGTACCAGCAAATACCAGGTCTCTGAACAACCGGACATCCATCAACCGCGGCTCGGGCCATCCTGCTGGTTTCTAAGATCCAGCAAAGCGCCGGGTGGTTGACGCGAGGGGTGATCTCTCGACACCCCTCAGCTGACATGTGTGGTAGTCACAATGCCTTGGGATGGTCAACCCCCTTTGCCAGGTGTCGTCCATTGTCATGGGCCATAGCATCGCTCGCCACATCATTGACCCTGGATATTGAAACCTGGGTTTGGTTGCTGCATTTCCCAGATCCGGACATATTTTTGAGGCTGCAAAGCAAAACCGCCAGGTTCTCCTGGCCGCCCTGGATCAAATATATATATATATATATATATAACTCCATCCCAGATTAAACCTGTAAGCCTTGAATCAAGTCTTGGTCTATCGGGTTCATGAGGCCCACAGACCACGATGGTCCCCATGAACCTCCATAGTATATCCCCCCCAATAGATACCCTCAACGTTTCATGAGCACGGGCTGGCTGTGATTCTCGCTTGGCTCGGGCTAACATGAGTTTGAGTGTGTCCCATTTTTTTTCTTGAACATCCCTCAACATGAACAACTTAGTCAATATGAATCGGATAGCAAGCGATTCGCCCCGGGGTTCAACCCACGAACAACCGACATAACTCCACCTGGGGGGGGGGACCTATAGGCCAACGTAATGTTGACCCCATATTCATCAACCCCCGTTTATTAATACCCCCCCCCCCACGATGAATAAACTAGGGTTGAGTAATACAGAATCATTTTACTTGAGAAGAACACAGCCCCCAGGGCGTTCCGGCCTCGAGGTCCACATTCCCCACACAGCCGCTAAAAAGCCACTAAAAAGCGTGTACACCCCGCTGTTCGCAACTGGAAGAACCTATGGCCAACCCCCACAAAGGGGACATGATCCTGGTCTCCGGGCGCTTCCGTCGGAGTCCGTGGGATTTTTGGTCACAGCGGGAGTGGCCAGGTCTTCTGTTACGCGCCCTTCGTGCTGGCCGAGGGTGCGGGATTCAGCGGCATCGTGGCCATTCTCTTCACGGGGCTCACCATGAAGCGGCGACTCGGAGGAGTCGAAGGTCGCCAGGGGGCTCCAAGAGGATTTTTTTTGGTTTGGTCGAGGATGTCTCAAAAGAGGGAGACACCCCGCCAAGAAAAGTGGAGTTGTTCAACCTGGGGTCTGAAAAGCAGATCTTTGTATTTGGTAGAGGAAGTATGTTGTCTCAGGTCTCCAAATAGGCGAACCCCCCAAGAGGGATTCGTTTCCCCTTTAATGCCCTCAAAACAACACACAAGGCATTGCGAAATCAGAGGCATGGCTTTGCGCGCTTAGGGACCAAGCCGTAGTAAGGCCGCCCCCTTTGTTTGGTGGGGGGGGGCTGTTTGGGTTATCTCTTAGACATCCCAACAAAACCCCTTACCCTTTGTTGTCGGGACGCCCATGGAGGTGGAAAACAAGGTTTTTGGTTGCCACTTTCTGTGAGTGGCCAAGGGCACCCCTTGAAAGTGACAGAAGTCCCACTTTGGTATCAAAGGTCAATTCCCACAACAACCATGTCTCATAAAGTGAATGCTTTTGAGAGGTTCTCAAAGGACCCTTCTGGCATGGGAACCCCCTAACCCCACCAGAAGAGAGGATTTAAGTGCAGGGTCATTTCGAGGATTCCCAGGCGCGTCTGTTTTTCTTCTCGCATTCGGCGCTTTGCCCGAGACTCCCTTTCACATTTGCTCGGGTTTCCAGGCAGGTTGGAGTTTGGGGGTGTTCACTTCATTGGGCGCGGATCACCCCACCAGGGTGAGGCGGAAGTTTGGGTTCCTTGTTCTAACTCCCATAGTGTTTTCTTTCACATGTTTCGTTACACACTCCCTTCCACGAATGCACCCGACAGACAGATCCTTTGAAGAGGGAATTTGATCTTTGTTATTTCCAAGGGATTGACATACGCCCATACTAGTATCATACTTCAAAATTTTGAATGTCACTATCATACTGCAGATGGACAACATCCTGCACCAGTTAAGATGGATGAAATCGGTTGATAAATCCCGACTGGTGCTCTTTGTGGGTGTTGTGCCACAGAGGTCCTCATCATACTCACAGTTTCTCACACAACTCACACGACTCACTACGTATTTGTTTGACCATGGCTCATGTGCGAGGAAAGGTAAGCATATGTAGGCCCATGTTTGGTTTTGAACCGCCCGCCTGTTTGTTTGTTTGTTTTTCTCCCGGCTGGCTTTCTGGCTTTTGCGGCTTTTTTATGGGCGCAACTGGTAAACTTGATGGTTGTTGGTTGTCAGTAGGGAATTACTCAAGATGTTGAGAATGACCCAGGGATTTCCTGAAAGGAAACCACAAGGGATGGTTCAGTTGCAGGTGATCTCATTTGCCTATCGAAGCAAGCAAATTGTGGGGTCGTGCCGAGGTGGGTATGGGTGCGCCTCAAAATAGGATATGGAACCTCCAAAATCGGTGGTTGCCTTTGGTTTCCCTGAGAACATCACCCCAGTTCACGCTGCCCACCCATCTCAACAGGGTGGGTGGGTGGCAAATTTGTAGTTTTCCTTTGGTTTCGCTTGAAGCCAGGAAATGGGTAGCGAGCCTCAACAGTTCACAGCTAAAGCACCTTTTAGTTGGATAGAAAAGAATAAGACTTCAGAGAACGTTTTGAGAAGCTGTATTTTTTTAGGGGGACCCCTCGAGAATGATGGTTTTCCATTTGATTTTCCTTTAAAGGGACCAACAAAACAGGGGAGCCGAGCCTCAAAAAGAGACAGACGAGCGACGGCGATTGGTGGTGAGGTACACCTTCTACAACCTCTCGGATTTAGCGCGGCAGACGGTGTCTACCATGGTATCGCTGATGGCGAGCTGTGCCGAGCGCCTCTGACGTCTGAGTCAAGTGAAACGGGGGCCTGTGGTTGGTTTGGAGTGGGTAAAATGAGTGTGTCATTTTGTTAAGCCCCCCTTTTGCTTGGTTTTGAAGGGATACCAAAAGGAAGGTACCTGATTCAGGTTGGTTTCAAAGCGATGCCAACGGGAGACCGTTGCCTTTTTTGGGGGTTCTCAGAAGAAAGAGACAAACTCGAGCGTGTTTGGACAACCAGACGCGTTTTTGGCCCAGTGCGCTTTAAAGGGACCCCAAAAGGAGGGCTATTGAAACTATGGGTGCTTAAACGCGTATAATCGGGGGGGTGGGGGGTGGGGTGAGGGGGGGTTGGCTCAGTTCTGGTTTGAACGGAGCCTTCCAAGTGCCATCTATTGTTCCGAACGGACACCCACGTATATTGTGTTCGACCAAGTCTCAAAGTTGTTGGGTAAGTTATGCGGCACTTAGCTTTCAGTCATCTCGTCTTCAATACGTGCGTCCACCTACTATCACCTGTATGCAGATGTATATATATATATATATAAACATCTACACATATAAGGCACATAGACAAATACATGCATGCCTAGGAATTTCTTGTGGGGGCCATCAACATTGTTTGGCGGAGGACACGCACCTTCATCATGCAACCCCCAAAAAGCATGCGCCCGAAACATACGTTTTTTTTTTTTTTCTTTTTTTTTTTTCTGTGTGTCTGTGTGTGTATATATAAGTCTGTGCTTTTTTGAGGCTCGGCCCGGCCTACTTTTTGGCCCATTTTGACACAAACTCATGTTAAAAGTCCATGTTTGCAAATAGCAATAACACCCTGAAAGTCGGCCCCTCAAACTTGACCTTGTTGCTGGCTCTCAGTAGGGAATCACCAAGGGTTTGGGAATGGACCGTTTTGGGATCCCCTTAAAGGACTCCACTCTAATGATGAATGGTCCAGTTGGTTCCGAAAAAGTGTCCCTTTTAGTTGGTTTGGTTTGGTGGTTGGGTTTCCGAGTTCCCAGTAAACCAACTAGGTACCTGGTCACTTTTGGCTGGCTTCCACTTGCTTAAGAATATGTTATTTTCCCCTGTTGGTTTTCAAGGGAATCTATCACTATGGCAGCTGGGGATCGGTGCGTTAAAGCGGAGAGCCCAGCTAAATATCGCGCTCAGAGGACCCTCATCTTCATCGACCTGGGCACTTCTGCCTGGGGCAGCCTGCAGGCAGATGCCTGGCCGGGGAGCCCAAGACGCCTGGATTCCCCGGCGGGTTGGTGGGTTGGTGGGTGGGTGGGTGGGTGGGTGGGTGGGTGGGTGGGTGGGTGGGTGGGTGGGTGGGTGGGTGGGTGGGTGGGTGGGTGGGTGGGTGGGTGGGTGGTGGGCTGGTTGGTGGTTGAGTGCGTTGGAGGTTAGAGGGGTTCCCATTTAGAAAGAGGTTCAAAGGGGTTCAAATGGCTTGGGGTTTTTGTACGTCAAAGAGGCTTGGGCGCAAGTCGGTTTTATCGCCATTGAACGACTCCGAAAGGGACACAAGAGATGTAGTTGGGGGTTTGGATGGCTTAACCAGGGATCCATTCACTGGTCAAATCTTTTCAAAAAAGGTGGTACCCTGCCCCTAGAGAGTTCGAAATTTGTGGGAGGACATGTCCCCCCCTTCGCATCCGGAAGAAGAAGAAGAAGAAGAAGAAGAAGAAGAAGAAGAAGAAGAAGAAGAAGAAGAAGAAGAGAGAAACACACCATGTCGGGCGCCAAAAGTGTCCAAAACATCCGATCCGCTTGAGGCTGGTGGCCTGGGTGCTGTGCTCCTGCCTCTTGGGCCGGGCGGTGAACGTGTACTCCGCCGGCTGGGCGCTGCGCCTTGGAAGAGCGATCGCTGCGTTTTTTGTTTGTTTTTCACCGGGGAAGGGAGAGGGAAGCCCTTTTTTTTTGGGGGGGGGACCCAGGTTGGGCTGAAACAACAAACCACGAAGCCTTTTTTTTTTTTTTAAAAAAAAAAATATCAATACCGCAGAAAATGAACAGGGGCTGGTGCACAACGGGGGGCGGTTCACTTTTCGTGGGACATGTTGCACTGTTGTGTGTGACACCCCCCCCTATTAGGAGAGGTTTATTGATGGTCTCCACTTCGGCGGCTTGGAAGTGGGGAAATCAAAGGTGACTACAGGACAAGTTGCTAAGCTCGCCAAACGCCCAAGTAGGGCATGAGGGCAGTACCCATCATTACCCGACACCTCCCAGGATCCGTTTTTGGTTCATGCCTCGTTGAGGGTTCCAGAGGGATCTCAATTCCACCCTCACTCCCACGAACCAGGCACCAGAAATGGATCTTCCAGGTTTGTTTGTGGGAGGGAGTGTATATCGCTTTCTCTAAGCGTTGGTGGGTAAGCATCACTTTTCGGTGTTGATAGAAGCTCAGGCGACGGTGTTAAAAGGAAGGTTGACGGGACATTCACCTTTTGGGCGGCTTTTCTAGGTTTGACACATGGCCAAGCAGGATTCGGACCCCTCACGACGCCGTTTCGGTTTGGTTTCCCTTCAAAGAGCCTCAAGTAATGCGGTCATTGTCAGGGAGAGAAGCTTCACCAGAGAACTAGTGCAGTTCCACTGCGCTGGTCTCGGGCGAAGCGCCTGGCTGCCAAATCTTCCATTGTAATGGGTCTCTTCCACCGAAAGTACTCGAAACCTTAGGTGGTTCTTGAGGCAAGCTGAGTGTTGGGTTGAACCCACGTTTCCAAAAGGGGCAAACCACCCTGCAACTTATTGACATACCGTGGCTGGACAAACTCATTTTGCACAAGACGGCAAGCGGTTTATCCCAGTATTCATAGGGCTTCTTCCAAGTAACTGGTGAGTTTTGCGGATGTTTGTGGGTTCGCCGTATGGTTTCCCTTAGGGACAATGGTGTGGACACCTTCATCCATTCCCCCCTGAGTTGAAACTCATGGGCTGCAAGATTGTCTCAAGCCCTTACTTCCTGGGCTTGCCTTTTGAAGATCGTTTTGGCAAACAGTTATCATCTCAAGAAACGAGTCTGGGTTTTGGGGGCAAACATAAAGTTCAGAGGTTCAGCACTTGACATGTCGAAGATCCTTGAGCACATGCTGTTTCCTTCGTGTCCCTTCCAAGAAGGCCGGGGTCTGAGGGCGGCCATAGACCTCCTGCATGGTTCGGCTCGAGGGTTCCAGATGGATTGAAATCTTCTCACCAGAGTTCCCCGATTTCACCATTTGGGCGTGTCTCTGAGGCTACTTTCCGTTTCAGCATTTGGGCGTGTCTCTGAAGGTACTTTCCGATTTCACCATTCGAGCGTGTCTCTGAGGGTATTTGTGGTTCGTTGTACTCAATCCACGGGACAAAGGACATCGCCAACTGCCGGGGGCCCCAACCAAAGCGGGGACACGCCCAGCTCACGCTGACGCGCGTTGAGGAACTCCCTGGAGCCGAGCTACCCGCGACGTCGCTTTGAGGTGAACGACATGCATATGGCGCCCTGGCGAGAGCCGAGGCCGGGGGGAGGACGGGCTTCCTTTTTTTTTTTGGTTTGAGGCAAATGGACATGAAGCCGCAAAAAGGCAAAGCCGGGAACGGGCGGGCAACACAGGGCGTGGGTGCTTCTCCCCCCGCCCCCCCCCCCCCCCCCGCAACTCCCCCAAAGACATGCGCGCGCTGTGTGTGTGTGTGTGTGTGTGTGTGTGTGTGTGTGTGTGTGTGTGTGTGTGTGGAGGCGCTCATCGGCCCCTTTGCTACAAACTGGGCCGTAAATAGGGAAATCTGAAAAATATATCCGAGACTGTTTTTTTTAAACATTGACAACTCTGAGCTATTTGCACCCCGAAAAATTAAATGAAAACAGATGCGTCGAACCCCTGGAAAAAAGAGAAGGGACACACGTACACGTGGGAGGATAATTCTCAAGTGAAACAGTGCCACCAAGAGGAATTGGAGCTTCACGCGGGTCTCTACACATCATTTTTGGGGGTCGGAGCGAAGGGGTTTCTGGACGCGTGAGGAACACGGGTAAGTCAGGGTTAGTAGCAGGCGGGGTGCTGATATCTGTTTGGGTTCTTTACATGGGTCGGCTACTTCAGTAGGTTTTGATTGTGACCCCACCTCTGCAGTCAAGACCCACCTCAAAAATCCTCACCGACCCCCGCCCTTCCCCGAAGCCCACGCCGCCGGCAGCCCGAGGTGTGGTTCGCGGGGCTGCGGGGCGCCATCGCCTTCGCCTTGTCCAGCCAGTTCCCGGGGCCGCACCGCAGGTGCGCCATGGCGCTGACCATGTGGGTGGCGCCCTGGTCAATCGGAGGGCGGAGCTGAGCGAGCCGCGCGGTTTTGGTTTTGGTTTTTTTTGGTGGGGGGGGCGCGGAAATTTTCCAGGCGCCCGGAAGAATTCACCAGGGGTTGGGCTTCTTTTTGTTGTCCCAGATTTGGGTGTCCAACAAGGGTGGCGACGCAACAAAATGAACCAGGCCCAAATCACATGTTGCTCTTCTTCTTCTTCTTCTTCTTCTTCTTCTTCTTGTTTGGCGTGCTTTATTGCTTTCCCCCCTAAAACTGCAACCAAAGGGTGGGGGTTCCATTTCGAAAAAAAAAAAAAAAAAAAGAAAAAAAAAGAAGAAAAAAGCAAGAAAAAGCAGAACAGACAAATAACGACGCCGCTGACTCGCTGACTCGCTCGCTCGCTCGCTCGCTGTTTCGCCGGTTTAGAACCGAGGTGCTGATCTCGGTGTGGGTGCTCGGGGGCTTCACGGCCCCGGTGCTGCAGGCGCTGCGGATCCGGCGCTGCGAGGCAGAGCAGCTGAAGCAGCTGGAGCTCACCTTGGAGCCGGTGGGGGCTGGGGATTTGGCGGGTGGGTGGGTGGGTGGTTGGGGGTGGGCTGGGGGGGGTGGTGTGGGCTGGGTTGGGGGGGCGCGGGGTATGATGGACACTTGGGGTCTGTTTTGCAACCTCCTTCAATTGAACAAAAGCCAAACCCATAGAGCCACCTACTAAATGGGACCAATTGAACTGCGGATATTCGCCACTTGCTAAATGGAGTTGGGATTGGGGGGCTGGGTTGGGGGTTGGGGTTGGGCGGGGGTTGGGTTCGACGAGCCATGTGTGTAGCCTCCTAGAGCCAAATTGTTTGAACCCCTTTAGGGTCGTTTCGGGTCATCCAAAATCACGCTTCTTTTGGTGGTTTATTTGAAGTCACATTGGCGAGTTCATGGCGAGCTCACCTCAAAACCAGCTTCTGGCTCAGGTTTTCCAAAGTGCAGCTTGGCTCAACTGCCAACGGATGAATCAACCTCGACTTGAGGTGCATCCCAGCCCAACTCGGTCTAAAGGGAGATCCCCCTTTCCGGGGCTTCATTTTGTGACGTCAGTCTACATTTTATTGGTTCAATATATATGGGTGTGTCCCTTTTTGAGGGTACCCTTGGCGCGGTTTTACAGGAACCTTGGCCTCGTCCTGTATACCTGGGCTGGGACTTATCGAAGGGACCCCTCTCCCTTTGTCGCATGGCCAGGCAGTGAAGCGCTTGGCGCCTCTCGGCCGCGGATTTTTTGCCGTTGGGCCATACTGCGAGGACTGTGCGTCACGTGGGTGTGGCTCCATTATTGAGGCTCGGTGCCCTTTTTGGGGGTTGGTTGAAAGAGGAACACAGCACACGGCATGCAGAGCAGGTGGCGCGAGAGCACATGCAGAGCAAATGGCGCAAGAGCACATGAGGGGCAAGAAGCGCGAGAGAAAGTGCGCAGCAAATTTGCACGAGAGAACCGGCACGAGAACGCTTGCGCGGGACATCTTGCACGCTCGCGTGAGATGTGTGGGCCCGAAATTAAAGTTCATCATTTATGGCAGCGCGGTGGGACCAAACCCACCCTGCGAACGTGACACCGTGCAACAACTGAGGCCTGCAAAAACCGAGGACTGGCACCGTTGTTGCATAGAGGGCTTGTGAAGAGGTGCTTGCACAGCGCGCTTTTGCAGAGAAACGTGGACCGACAGGTCGCCCAGCGAAACTTGCATCGAGAACTTGTGTAGAACAAATGCGCGGAGAAGCTTGAATCGAGATCTCGCGCAAAGAACTTGCAGAGCGAACTTACGCAGAGACCGCTGGCGTAGAGAACTTGCACGCAGAACTTGCGCAGAGAGATTTGCAGAGAGACTCTTACTTGAAAATTCGCACCAACGAAGCGTTATCGCAACAAGACACACATAATCACTTGACATTACGGCATAGAATGTGCACACGCGCACATGAATGCACAGATGCCTTGTCAAAGCGTTTGACATTACACGCCGCGCTCACTATATGTTACACTTTCGGGCCACCAGTTCTTCTGTTTTTTGAAAGGCACACTTGTGTCTGCCACGGCATGTTGGATGCCTTGGCGACAGTTTGTCAGGGCCAACCACTCGCCGATTTTGCCTCCTTTCTTGGTGCCCTTTAGCAGTGGGGGAATCTTGGTTTCGGGGTTGCACCCCTGATTCTTGCGGAGGGGACCAGGGACACCCCTCCTAAACCACCAAGCCACCAGTCCACAAAGTTTGGGAAACTGACATGCCTTCTCCCAATGCGTCCATCCATGTGAGCTTCGGGGCATGGAGCACGAGGCCTCCGCACGAAGCCTCATTTTCCCATGTCCTCGCAAATCGAAGGCCTTCTTGTGGCAGTTTATGGGAACAACAGACGCAGAATTTGATTTTGGGGTCCAGATCCCGTTTTTTTTAGACACTTTCACTGTGGCGCATCCTTTGGCTTCCGAGGCAAAACCCAGAAGGAGTTGATAAAAAAGGTGTCTTGACTCATGGCCTCCGCTTCTCTGAGGATCGTGCGCTGGGACCGGCAGTACTTGAGCCCTTGGCTCCTGCGACAATCCGTTCAATCTCCGCCCAGCTCGCCTGTCCACCGGCAAGGGGAGGTGGGGGGGGGAGAGCGAGAGACAGAGGGAGAGGGAGAGAGCCAGCGAGCGAGCTGATATTGATTGCTCAGAGAGGACGAGCCCACCGAAATTCCAATTCAGGGGGCCCGGGCCCCAATTTTTTCGTCGTGGGAAACTCTGTGTTTGCAGCTTTGTGATTGTTTTTCCGGGCGCAGAAATCGTGCAGGGCTCAGCCGCGGAAGACGATGTGCGAACAGTGCGGATCACCCCCTATGCTACTTGTGCACCACAAGCAGAGCTCGGGCCCCGAGCGCGGATGGGATCGGGTTGAAAAGACCCGGCTGTGCATATCTTCATTGCCGAATAACAAGCAAGCGTTTCCAAGTTGCTCATGGCGGGTCCTTGGTTTGACCTTGGCCCCCTAGACCTTTTAGAAACAAATTGCCTTTTGCACTGAACCTACAAAAAGTTCTACCGGTCTTTTGTCAGCGGGCTTGCAACAACCCAGTCAAGATTAAAATTGGTGGACCCCCTTTTCCTATTTTGAGAAGCACCCAGTAGGCTTCTCTTGCTGAGGCTTCAAGACTTCTCGCAGCCAGGCCCCCGGTTTCGGATGAGAGAGAATCTGTCTTGTGGGTGTGTCTTTTGTAGGGGACCCCCAAAATGGGTGGGTTGTCGGTTGGGATTCCCTTTAAACCAACCAAGACACACCCGCGTGTTTTCCTTGAGCTTGAGGGTGCCAATTTTGGGTCTGTTGACAAACCCAATGACGATCCCGTGTGTTGACCGCTGCTCATAAGGAAGGCTTTGTTCTTCACACTTCGCCTCAAAGGTACTAAGATACGCGCAATGACCCTACCACACCGACAAGCTTTGTACAACGTACCAAAGGGTTACGCACATAGGGTGTGCGCTGGATGGCCAAGTAAGCTTCCCCTTTTAGCTGATTCTACTACTTGGTTTCGCAGTAGAATCGGTGAGGCCCTATAGGAATCTTTACCATCTTGGGTAGAACCAGCTGTGAACGGGTTTTGGGCACTGCTCAGTTGGGAGTCGGGCAGAACCTTGTCAGGAGCGCGTGCCCTGCTGACAGCTGAGATAAGCGAGGACCCGGAGTAGCATTTCGCGGAGCCGACTTGATAGTTCAATCCAGAATGCATTGCTATGGGACACTTACCGTGGGTTGTTTCAAGAAGCACACCGAAACTAAAGTGAAGCTCTTTTGAGCCCGTTTTGAAGATTTTCCATGTGGCAACGCCAATTGAGTTTGGCGGCTTGGTGCTGTCCTCGGTTCCGCGAGTCGCCTTCGCTCGCATCTCTGGGCGAGTCTTAGCTGCGAAGACTCGCGTGCGGTGTCGCGACAGACCGCCACAAAGATACATGGCGTGCCAGGGAGATATCGCTTGACCCGCTTGAATATCCTCTTGACACGTGATTTGACCTCCGGATAGTATTTTATGGCTGTTTGTCAAAACGAGTTGGATTCGTATTGGGGACAGGTATGAAGCCTAACATGTAGACGATTCAAAAGGACTCCTGAATCCTTGCCTTTGATTGTGCAACGCGCATGGAAGCGGACAGACCCTAAAATGATGTTCGTCCAAAACAACAGCAGTGGACAGACCCTAAAATGATGTTCGTCCAAAACAACAGCAGTGGACAGACCCTAAAATGATGTTCGTCCAAAACAACAGCAGTGGACATACCCTAAAATGATGTTCGTCCAAAACAACAGCAGTGGACATACCCTAAAATGATGTTCGTCCAAAACCCTCCTTTGCACGTCGCTTGTTGAAGAAACCGTAGCTTTGCTTGCACCGACCCCGCAACTCGTGGCCGGGAAATGGCGCCCAAGGCGGCGGCAAGCGAGCGGCCGCGGCTACGGCGGGAAGTCCCAGGTTGGATGTTGGGCCAAGGTGGTTAGCCGCTTAGCCACCTGTGTCTGGGGTGGCATCCACCGACTCCAGGATGTGGAAGTGGGTGGTATGACCTAGGTTAGTCACCAAATCCGGAGCTTAGCATCGCACAAGGGTAATCCAGGCACCGCGTGGAGGGGTGGAGGGATTGCCAGCCCCGCTTTGAGGCGCATTGGGATTCGGTGCTGACCCGCACCGGGATCCACAGCGGCGCTCTCAGGCAGTCAAGGCAACTCAATTGCCGAGGAAGGCTTCAGCTACTGAGGTGAAATGGGCAACAGTCATCATCCTCGCCATAGTTCATCACCATCACCACCATCACCACCATCATCATGAACATCATCACCATCATCATCATAACCACCACCAGTATCACCACCACCATCACCACCATTTTCACCACCATCATCATCACCACCACCATCACCACCACCATCATAAACATCATCATCACCATCATCATGAACATCATCATCACCATCATCATGAACATCATCATCACCATCATCATCACTACCATCACCACCATCATCATGAACATCATCACCACCATCATCACCACCACCACCATTATAACCATCATCAGCACCACCACCACTATCACCATCATCAGCACCACCATCATCATCACCATCATCATGACCACCACCACCACCACCACCATCATCATCATCATCATTAATTATCATGATTATCATCACCACCATCATCATGATTATCGTCACCACAATCATCATCATCATCATCATCATCATCAGCATCATCATCATCATCATCATCATCATCATCATCATCATCATGATTGTCGTCACCACAATCATCATCATCATCATCATCATCATCATCATCGTCATCATCATCATCATCATCATCAACACCGCTGTCATCACCACCAGCATCATGTTTTGGCTGTCAGTATCATCGTCCATCATCATTGTCATCATCATCAGCAGCATCAGCATCAGCATCATCATCATCATCGTCATCATCAACACCGCTGTCATCACCACCAGCATCATGTCATGGTTGTCATTATCATCGTCCATCATCATTATCATCATCATCAGCATCAGCATCAGCATCAGCATCATCATCATCATCATCATCATCATCATCATCATCCTGAACTGATCATCTCCTCCATCATCCTGGTGCTTATGCTTATGCTCTCAATCATGCTCAAATTATGCTTGCTCAGGTGCTTATGATCATCATCAGCATCATCAGCATCACCAGCATCACCCGCCTTACCAGCACCATTATTGACGTTGTCATTGCCATCGCCATCAGCATCATGATCGCCACTACCACTGCCACCACGACCACCACCACCGTCATCGTCACCGTCATGGTCATCATGATCATGGTCACATGGCCATCACAATCACAATCAGCATCGTTATCATCCGCTCCACCGGTATTCGCACTGGTCATTGTTATGCCTGGGAGCTTGTTTGCACACAATCTTGTTTTCACCTAAGGGGGGTTGGATTTGCTTTGTTCTTTCCCAGATCCCCTAAGCACCTAGCCCCCCCTGAGTAACATGGCAGCCTTGTCGCCCCGGCGCCGTTGTCGCCGGTTGCGTCCGAGGCCCGCCGTGGGCATCGGCGGGCGCCTGCGCTCTGCGTCCGAGGGCCCGCCGCTGCCTGGGTCGCCCCTGTCGAGGCCAGCGGCCGGCGCCCCTCGATGCCTTGATGGAAGGAAGGAGAAATTCAGGGTGTAGTTATAGTTATAGGCAATTGAGAACAAATTGGTTGGTGACCTCCAGTAGCATGTCAGGAATTCTCCCCAAAATGTGTGGCATCTGTCAGGGCGGCCTTGGATTTCATAAATATACCCTCTCTCCTACAAGCATGGCATTTGACAGGGAAATGATCCCTCCAAGAGGAAACTGATCTTCCAGGAACGCTCCAGCTGCCATGACAACGTGGGAGGCAGAAGAGCGAGTGTTTCAGTGGGGAATGAACCTAGGGATGTCCTGTTACAGGAAGACCATAGGGAAAAGGTTACTGTTTTGTGGGGTTCACTCCCAAGACTTAGGTGAGATTGGAACGCCTCTTAGGCAGGGCTCCTCAAAGGAAACTCATTTTGCAACCATTTCAAGCATGTTGCTTTTTCAACACCAAAATAAAGGGACACCACCATTTTCAAGGCAATGTCAGGTGAGTAATGTAAGGATCCCTGTTAGGGTCGACTTTCAATGTTAGGCAGTTATTGGAGGCGGGGTGGGGGGGGGGCACAGGGTCTTCGATGTGGGGCCGGACGCGGCAATCCAACCCGAGGAGAAAGGTAGAAACCGGACAATATTTGGAAAGGTTGCAGGAAGTTGACTTGATAAGGACTGGAGAGGAGTGGAAGACAAACCCAAAGGAACTGGAAGCAGGCAGGATCCAGACAGACGAGGATCTGAGAACTGGAAAGAAACCGGGCGGGAACTGGAAGGAGCCGGGAGCTTTGCAGCAACTGCAAAGAGAAGGAATTCAGCTGCAAATGGCCAGCAGGGTGAAGGGAAGAGCAAGGATCAGCAGGATGTAGACGGTCCGAGATTTGGCAGCAGAAAACATGATGCACATTGAGCTAATTTGAAGGAGATATAGAGGGACACGCCTAATGTTGGGACAACCTCAAACATGGTCGATGGACGTAAATCTGTAAGTGATATCCCCCAAAGGATCCCCAATAATAGGTTTATCAAAAGGTCCTTTACGTGGATGATTGGTTACAAAACCAGTAAGATGATATTTTCCACATGGGAAATCAGTTACCCATGGTCGTTTGGGGGCCGAACGGAGCGCTGATCAACCTCCATTTCAAAGCGGAAACAACCAAGGAAAAAGGGAGAACATTGGCAGCCGGGCCCAAAAGACCTTAACATGTGGGGAATTCTCCAAATTAGGGACCCGCGTTGCACGGAGTGGCCCAAGAGAATCCATACTTGGTGGCTCCCCAGCTATCCCCTTAGCTTTTTAGCTTTTTGGGATTTAGGGTAGTTTCCATTAACCTACAAGTTAAACTTTTAGCAGGGCATGTGAGGACAGCCCAGAATAGAACTTCATACCCACTTTCCTTGGCGAGTGGCTTCATTCCTTGGCTGGATGCGAAAGACAGGCCAGATCCGCCTTCTGCCCGCGAAAGAGGGTGTGGTGCTAAGTCGCCAAGCTGAGACCACCTGTGTGTGTGTGCGCGTGTGTGTGTGTGTGTGTGTGTGTGTGTGTGTGTGTGTGTGTGTGTGTGTGTGTGTGTGTGTGTGTGGGGAGGGGTCACGCACACACGTACACATATATATATATACATATGTATGTATATATATATACATATGTATGTATATATATATACATGATACATACATATAAACACATACATACATATATATATATATACAGAGGTATGATAGGTATAAATATATTGTATATAGACATGATATGTATACATGCATATACAACATATTACTATATATTTATATTGCTAATAATCATAATGCTAAAGCAACACTAATAATACATGTTGTTAATACATTATCATGAATAGCAATGACAATAATTCTAATAGCCCCTAAATCATCATCCAGAATCACCATAATGATAACACAACATATCAACTAACAATGGTAACCACCATAAAACAATTGTTTTGCAAATTCTCTCAATGCTAATGACAATGATGGCGATGACAACAATGATACTACTAATAACAGTAATAATGTTAACAATCGCAATGCTAATATTACACTAACACATATACTTGTGCTACTAATAATGATACTGATAATGATAATGATAATGATAATGACACAACAATCATGATGACCATAGTGATAGCAATGAAGATAATCATAACGGCAACATCAATCATAGAAATAAACACATGGTAATAATGACAAGAAGCATAATCATATTAATCAATAACATAGCACACACTAGCAATGATAATGATAACCATCATAATACCAATATATGTATATATGTATGTGTGTGTGTTGCCCTTCTCGTGGACCAAACGGGCTTGTGCAAAAAGGCAGCCTCAAAAAGCAGGTGCATCCCAATGTCCCGCCAAAACGTTCGAGATTCTCCGAGGTGTGCCATTCTTCTCCCCCACGCGGGTGTGCCTTTTTTCGAGGGCGCCCTTTTGGGTTGCTTTTGTTCCAACCAAAGGGACCGCAACCATTTGGAGTTGTGTGCTTGCTTGAAGGTGCCCTTTTTGGGG